CTTGGTTAACTTTTTTGTACCAGTCAACTTTTTGACTGAACTGGTTGAGATATTAAATTGAAAGTTGGAATACTTGTTTACCATCATGGTCCCAAAACATGGGCAGGAGAAGGTAATTCTGTTAAGGATTTTATTTGAATTATGGCCCTTTTTGACTTAGAAACTCAGTTAAAATTTTCATTCTTGTCCACTTGTTGACTTAACCATTTGAGATATTACTTTGGAAGTTGGAGTTCTTATGTGCCATCATGAGACCTATCTGTAAGCAAGAGAAGATAACTCTGTGAAAATGTTTCTTGATTTGTACTTAGAAATTCCTAGTTAAAGTCTTGTGTGCCCTTAACTGTCAAAGTTTTGTTTTATAGGCAAGCACTAAAAAAGTCGAGCGCGCTGTCCTTCTGACAGCTCTTGTACCACTATGTTGCCATGGCAACAGAACCAATTTATGTTGTTGGTAGAATGAAAATCTACCTTTTAAAAAATTAAAGACTTAAGAACATTTTAAAATGTAATCTTGTTGGTTATTCTTAGTCTTAATAATCATTATATATCAGTTCACTAGAAATTGGGACTCAATTTTCGTGTACCCCACCCACTTTAGGAATGTCAGAATCCACATTCTTACACAATAAAAATAAAAATAAGGGTACATTTAGTAAGTTGTTGATCAGGTCTTTGTATAATATGGTAAAAATATTAGTTTTCACCACTATGCCTCGACTGATAGGAAAAAATGCCAGCCCCATGTCGATTTTTGATACTTTTTCATGCTTTTTTAGCAAAATTTCTCTATGAAAACAAGAGTATATGTATAAGAAAAAGGAAAAGGACCCCTTTTCATATTGTTCCAATAGGATGTGAAGTTTTAACATCACCTGTACCAAAATAAATACAAAAAAGAACTAATTTTATCATATAAATTGAGTATTAGCCATTTTTCAATAATTTGGCGGCCATCTTGGCGGCCATCTTGGATTTCTCAAAACGTACCATGATTTGACATGTCTACCCAATTTTTTTGTAAACTTCAAACATTTAGCTTTACATTGGTATAACATTTATCCATGGACCTTTTTTGCACACAAAAGGTCCCCAGGGACTGTACTATAAAGTACAATTTTAAGTATGAATGCGTTTTCTTATTGTAATTCTATAAACATATAGTTTAAGATCTAAATGTTCTGTTTTATTTTATGCTTTTCAGTGGATTACTGATTTATCCGTGAAAATTATATTTGATAATTACACAGTGAAAATTATCAAAATATAATTTCACTTTTTTCAATGACGAAACTACTTTTTTAAGATTTTCCCCATGTGGTACCTCAATTTTATTTTTACCGACAATTCTGACAATGTCAGGCTGTTAAAAGAAATAGCAAAGCTGAAATAGATAAATAACTTAAATGTCAAAAGTAACACAGAGAGAAAACTTACTTCTATTCCTTCAAATTCCAATCACCAAATTTTGTCTCTAATTTTTTTTTGTTTCGTTTTTACAGTCTGAAAAATACATTCCTTCCCCATGCAAAACGGGCTCTTGATGACATTTGGGCATATTAAAGTATCCTACGAGCAATAACTGCCGTATGCTTTATGAAAAATTGAAAAGCATTGACAGCCATCATTCGTAAAATAAGTTAAAACAACCCAGCGTTCCTTCAGCAAGCTTCCAATTTTTCCATTTTCCTAGCTCCTTTTCTGAATGTTTTCACTTCTGTCAACACTTATTTTTTGTCTGTTACAATCCTCAAATAAGTTTTCTTTCTTTTAAAAAGGTGTATGACTAACAAATCCAAATTATATCCTTCTGAATCTTACACAATTATTTTCCTCCCATGAAATACACAACTTTAAAAAATGGCTGCCGTTTACATTTTAGAAAGCCAGGTCTAATATAAATTCGCAGTAAGTAACAGAAATATGGATGGATGGTTGGAATTTTCTCCTGCAAGAATTGTTTGTTTTTTATGATTAAAACAAGCGATCATTCATATTTTTTTAATAAAATGAATAAATATCACCGTCATTTAACCTTGATTGGCGGACTTATTTTTCAGCTCAAGACTTCTTGTTTTAAATGAGAAATTCCGTCTAAATGGGGCTCTCAATGGGGGAAACAGATTTTAATATTAACGTTAAAATTATGGAAATTTCGTTTTAACTTGTTTTTAAGCATAAAATAAAAAGAAAATTTGTCTGTTTGTTGTGTAAGATGTAATTTTATTTCATCTCGTGAACTTTAAAAACAGTATTCTCACTCGTGGCTACGCCACTCGTGAGAATACTGTTTTTAAAGCTCACTCGATGAAATAAAATTTCATCTTACACACAAACAAACAAATATCCTCTATATCATGTGTTATACATGTATGTATATTGAGAACGAATTAAGGTTACAATTTGAACTACGTCGAAAATGATAGAAAATTATGAATTTTTCCCATCTTGATTTGGAACTTGAATTTACCTTGTCTGTCAAAGTCCTGGTCATTTATGGTCCTATTATGATGAGTATCTGTCAGGTAAGATAAAAGCTTATTAGAATAAACAGAATTTGAAATTAACCTCAAAAAGAATAATAATAAAAAAAGAAATTTCATATCAGAAACTTGAATAAGGCCACATGCTGAGAGAATTCCACATATTGTTTAAAGTATACATGAATAAAGGTAATTATTAAAGCGTATTTATGATTATAACATATTAGGTAAACTATGTGATTGGAATAAAATTATAGCCTTTTAGAACGTTAAAATCACTGATAAAACATACATGTAGATAAATATTTGTTTATTTTTTTAATACAATCGAACGCGTTGATATAACTGAATTCCTTTACGTTTTGAAAGAAATGTTCGAAATTCAAATTAATGCAAATATCAGTAAGTTATGTGTTATGATAATAACTTACGTAGTATTTAAAAATTCATCACAGACATATTAAATTTGTACAAATTCATTACTTTTAATTATAATATTTTAAGTCAATACACTAAGTTACAATAATTACACTAGAAACAAACCTATGCCAGTGTCTTTAGAGGCTAATATATCCGGTATAACAATATAGGATTTGGTCAACACCATGTCCCTAGCGCCGGTCTCATCTATGATTGTCTCTGGGTCCACTCTCTGACCCCTCCTGCCGTGCAAGCGGCGACGTAGACGGTTCATGATTCGAGCCCACTGTATAATTAAAATGATTATGGCCATGTGTGGTTTTATTTACATTTTATTGTTTTCATTTTTGATTTTAAAAATTTGATTGAACATAATCTACTTTTTTCGGGGGAGCGGGGATTAAATATTTCTATATCTATTACACATGACAACGGGAAAAAGTTAAACGAAATTTGTTGTTTACAGTAAAATCAACGCTGATATATTAATACATATATTGTTAATGTCTTTCGATTATGTTACAGAAAATATTGTTCATCTATTCCTGCATAAAGTGAGGTCTTTCTCCAACTTAAAAAGTTCTAAAAATCGCCATGTGATCTCTACTGCCCCCCCCCCTTCCTCCAAACTAGGCTAGAGAGTAAAAAAGTAAAATTAAGAATGATATTACGGTAAGGATAATTAAAGTACTATATGTGTATTTACTCTTTTGTTACACGCATCTCTCAGTCTCACACACCAAGTAAAACAGCCTGTTTTCTCGTCTTCAGACATTGCAAAGTATGTTGTCGTAGTCAACGCCAATGTTAAGTTTGTTATCGTTACTAAAGAGCGACGTTGAACGTTTAATGACGTCATGACGTCAGATGAGAAAGGGAGATAATTCAATGTATTTCCGAATGCAATAGATTTATTAAAAACATTTAAAACATCGGGAACAATCACTTTACATGCCTGTCGCTGGTGACAACTATGTTGAGCTATGTCATTCTATCAACATGTTTATCTCCTTAACATTTTACTCAAGTGCTTTAGGTCGAATAATTGCCTTTCAGCCTTGAAAATAAAAAAAGGTATCGGTGATAATTCATTTTTTTATTATTTTGATTATTATTATTTGTTATTGTTGTTGTTGTCGGTGTAATTATTATTATCATCATCATCGTCGTCGTCGTCGTCATCATCATCGTCGTCGTCGTCGTCATCATCATCATCATCATCATCATCATCATTATTATTTACAACAAGTCATAATATTGAAAATTAATGTTAATAAAACAACCGTTTTCTCAATTTTTATTTGTAAGGCAATATTATGGAACGTCATTATCGCCGTTACAATGGCAACACTCTCAGCATTGTTGACATGCGCCGTGTTACTGATTCCAAGAGGCTTAGACCTCGTACCTATCAAACATGGCCAGGAGATACAAGGTACGTTAGTTTCTTTCCATTCTTCTATACATAGGGATGACGTCATATATGTATGGCGCTATGCTTCGAACTTCTTAGCACAATCCGCAGAAACTTTGCTTTACGGAAACTGGAGGTCAGGAAGAAGGCTGTCTATCAGATGGTCATTTTTTCCGTCCATAGAAAATAATTACAATATCACACCACGCTGAATATTTCAAATTGATTTGCCCATCACTTTATCTCTACAATACTAGTCATCATTTCAGGGAAAATAAAAATAGCTACCGATTTAACAGCAAGACCGGACGACACGGATGGAATAAGTTGCCACCTGGACACTCTATATTTATGGTGTCATTTGGAAGCCTTCAAATTAATGGCATAGATCTAGTTTTCATGTCAAAACTAGAAGTTGACCTGTTGATGTTTTCGGGTCTTGAGTTATAGTTGCACTTTTTCAAATATACAGCTCTTTGTTCTATTGAAATGTGATGAAATAAATTTGAGTTTATTTCAGTAATGAACTTTGTAATGGGTTTGACAATTTTGTTATTTTAAGATATTGTTTGACGTCTTAACATTATATCACATTACAATTGACAGAGTCAAGTTGTGACTATTTGCTTTGAGCAGCTAACTACAATAAGATCATTACTGTGCATTACATGTAGAAGAATTCACAGATCTACTATCTAATAGTTTAATGATTGCAGGTATAGATATGGTATTCCTGCAACAACAAGCATATCCTAGTGGTGACATTGTTACACCATTTACAACAGATTTTATTGAAGGTAAATATCTTCAGTAATTCATCGTTATTCCCCCCCCCTCCCTTTTTCAATTTTTTCACGCCAATTTTAATACATTTTTGCTAATCCCATATGATTTCTGAATCGGCGGTAGGAAACAATTAATGAGTCGATGTCCGATGTAGTTTGTCAAGGACCTAGGATTGAACCAGCGACCGCTATATTACAAATCTGATGCTCTCCCTAATGAGCTAAGCGGGTGGATTAATCTTTTATTCCAAATATAAAAGTTTCTGATAAATTTGAGTCGATCTTTTACTATGAATTGCATGCAGCAGAAATATCACGTCACAGATATTTGCTTTGATTTTTACAGATCGTGAAGGATTTATAGATTCAAATCCTACGTCACCGCAGACGACCAACATGACGTCACCATCTTCCCATACATTTTCAGGTTTGAATCTTCAGGAGCTACCTGCACATTATGGTAAATTTCCTCACTTATATAGTTAATTATTAATCTTTTAGGCGTCATTAACCTGCCTCACCGTTCATCAAATCATAATTAGTGATCATAATTTCATTATATACTAGGTGTATGGGGATGTGGGGAAATGGTAGGGGAGTCGGGGCGTAAAACTGCATTCTTAAAACTGTTATCATAGGTTTCCTGGTATCCAACAAGTCATATCAGGGCCTTTAAAAGTCCTTTAGTTAAAACCTTGGGAAAATGTTTTGATTTTATATAAATTGTTTTCGTTGTAAATCAGACCCTGTATATATATTCAGCATGGTGTATCATTTAAGATACACAGGCAGGGTCTTACTTAATTATATTTGCATAGTAAAGAACGTTGAACGTGAACTGGCTGGCAATCGCTGGTTGTGCCCCCGCGTTAGTGGCGGGCATTTGGCAGCACACCACACTAAATGAAGTCGCAGCTTCGAATGGCCAGGGAGGATTTCATGGATATAGTGACTATTGTGGATTTAAATGACTGGTTGTCTTTAAAATGCATTTTCAGCATGAAATTTGTTTTTGTGACATGTAATATGATCATTGGCAAATTCGAAAACATGGTTAGAAATCACATGCTGATAATTATTGATGTCAAGGTCGCCATTGTTTGTAAACATTGCTTTTAAACAGCATGCTCGGTGAAAACAAGTAATTTTACACGGGGGTACAAACTTTCAGCAATAGCAAAAAATCTACAAGGCCAAGCACCTATTTCTTTGTGATATTTTGCATGCCTAGGGAGTTGCTAAAGCAGTGACAGAGTTTTTGTAGACCGTATATTTGCAGGTATTTTTTGCCGGAGGGACGAAAAATGTTGTTTTGGGTCTCGGACCACTATAGATTTTTGGCTTTTACGGAATGAATTGGATTTTTTTTAACTGCCTGACTGTTGCACATGGGATGATTTCATTACAAATTTGCAATTGTATGACATATATGTTCTTAACAAAATGTGTTTTCTTTTTCCAGGTTGTGTAGTTTGGGATCAGATTTATCAGACATATTGCTTGTAGGACATTGACGGCAGAAACTTGAAATTTAGTGTGGAGTGCTACCTTAAGATTTACCCTTGTCCGTCGGTCCGTCCATCTGTCCGTCCGTCCGTCCGTCCTTCCGTCCGTCCGTCCGTCCGTTCACTTTTGTGTCGCACGTAACTCAAAAAGTATTTGACCTAGAGTCATGAAACTTTACAGGAATGTTGATCAGCATGTGTAGTTGTGCACCTGGGTATTTTGGTCTGGATATTATTAGTACTTTCAGAGTTATTGCCCTTGACTTAGTAAAATTTTGCAATTTTCAACTTGTGTCGCATGTAACTCAAAAAGTATTTGACCTACAGTCATGAAACTTTACAGGAATGTTGATCAGCATGTGTAGTTGTGCACCTGGGTATTTTCGTCTGGATATTTTTAGTATTTTCAGAGTTATTGCCCTTGACTTAGTCATATTTTGCAATTTTCAACTTGTGTCGCATGTAACTCAAAAAGTATTTGACCTAGAGTAATGAAACTTTACAGGAATGTTGATCAGCATGTGTAGTTGTGCACCTGGGTATTTTTGTGTGCATATTTTTAGTATTTTTAGAGTTATTGCCCTTGACTTAGTAAAATTTTGCAATTTTCAACTTGTGTCGCATATAACTCAAAAAGTATTTGACCTAGAGTCATGAAACTTTACAGGAATGTTGATCAGCATGTGTAGTTGTGCACCTGGGTATTTTCGTCTGGATATTTTTAGTATATTCAGAGTTATTGCCCTTGACTTAGTCAAATTTGGCAATTTTCAACATGTGTCGTACATAACTCAAAGTATTTGACCTAGAGTCATGAAACTTTACAGGAATGTTGATCAGCATGTGTAGTTGTGCACCTGGGTATTTTCGTCTGGATATTTTTAGTATATTCAGAGTTATTGCCCTTGACTTAGTCAAATTTGGCAATTTTCAACATGTGTCGTACATAACTCAAAGTATTTGACCTAGAGTCATGTAACTTTACAGGAATATTGATCAGCATGTGCAGTTGTGCACCAGGTATTTTCGTCTGGATATTTTTAGTATTTTCAGAGTTATTGCCCTTCACTTAGAAAATTTTTGCAATTTTCAACTTGTGTCGCAAGTTTCTCAAAAAGGATTTGACATAGTCAATAAACCTTATGGGCAGGTTGCTCAGCATATTTTAGATTTGCACCTGGGGTTTCGCTTGTGGATTTATCCAGTATTTGAAGAGTTAATTCCCTTGACTTAGTAAAAAGATTGACAGAACAGTGTCGGGTGGGGGCACCCGTGTCCTATGGACACATTTCTAGTGTTTATATACTCAAAATCAATATTTATTTCGTACACAGATAAGTTTCCATTATTCTGTACAAAATTTACTTCTATAAAAATCAACTTTATTTCAGATATCCAAAACCCGTATTACAAGTTGGACGTAGATTTAAGATCGATGCCGTCATTTATACATTCCCCCGGGGATTCAGACCGCCGTGTATGGTTCAGTGGTGACTCACTACGTGACCAGGTGGCTCCAATGACTCCTATCATAGACTACCATACACGAGACGCCGACCGATGGGAAGACATTGAGTTTTAAGCTTTGTAGCTGATTATCCTTAAGCTAAAGCTAAAGCTAATATATGAAGATTTAGTGTTTAAATATATAGTCAAACACTTACAAATCCCATGAAATACATGTACATTAAATGTGTCAGACATGCATGAGATGCATGGAGATCTTAATCCGTTAATAACGGATCGGAAACAAAGTGTTAAAGATATTAATGTAAATATATTTGTTTGCATATAGAATATGAACCGTAGATCGGATTGTGAATACTTCTTACACATACCTCAAACTATGTATAAAGTTTTCTAAAGATTTTAAGATTTATCCGGAGGGTATAACGTTACTTTTAAGTGCTATTGTTTTCTATCACTATTAATATATGTGGTATAAAATCATTATTTGTTCTGATGATGTTTTGTTGATGTTTTTTGTTTGTTTCTTTGTTTTTGTATCTTTTGTGTGGTTATTTGTATTTTTGTGTCCTCATTATAGCATAATTAATGCAAATAATTGATCTACTTGTATATAAAACTCAACGGGATTTATGTAAAGCAATTTCATCTTTAGCCCCATGATTAAAGTCTCTGACTATTGAAGAACACTTTTCCCTAACCGTTGTTGATTCGAATCCCATAATGGACTGTTAATCTTTCCATATGTCGCAACTATCCGAGGTTGGTTGGTCTTCTCATGTTTCCGCTCGTGCCCGACACAATGCATGGATGGGCGCCTGAGGTCTAACATCACAAGTAACGCTGGAAAGTGTCATATGTTTTTTTCCAGTATCATCGTATTAGCACTGCGCTGAGTGATAGCATAGTAAGAAAGACATATATATGTAAATGGTTTCTCGTTAATTCATGCTCAAGTTATTTTACTGTTTTACATGCCAAATACTTTAACAATTTATGCGTAAACTAAAATTGCCCTTCTAACAGAGTTAGGTACGCAGGTAATGGTTAACATGATCGTTTTCAATATTTTATTTCAACATGCTGACAGAATCGACGTTTTAACCCATTTCATGCTGCAAAAATGTCGTCTGCTTAATTTTTGAATTTTGAAGACCGGAACAACCGGAGTACATCCGTAACTCTGCCGGCAACGTCCGGGATGATCCGGGAACATGCGGCATTCGACCCCGGATGGAATCGAATATTTAATATGACCGGGGTGGTCCGGGATGATTCGGGAAGTATAGCTTTAACGGCTTCATCCTTAGCTCTGCTGTAACCCGGGTTACATCGGGGAAGCACCGTAGCTCTGCCGGCACAAACCGGGGATGATCCGGGGTATGATATAGCCGGTAGAGCAACGGTAGAGCCCCGGTGAATGCTGGCAGAGTCCCGGTGAAGGCCGACAGAGTCCCGGTGACTGTCGGCAGAGCTCCGGAGGATGCCGGCAGAGCCCCTGAAGATGACGATGAAGCTACGGTTAGTCCCGGTAGAGCCCCGGCAGAGCCCGATTTTTTTTTCAAAAGAATCTCGACAATTTGTGATGATTTCACTTGTTTATATTAAAAGCCATCCCATTTTCCTTTTTATCCAGTCTTGCATAAGGATTTTTCAGAAAATCATCATGAATGTTCTGGAACAATAGATATAATATTAAATAAAAACTATGTTTCAGTGTAATCATTTTCGCGCGTTTTAATCCACCGGGGTTCTACCGGGACTCTGTCTGGATCGTCCTGGGCTCTGCCGGGGCTCTTCAGGCGTCATCCGGAACGACCGGGGAAACACCGGCATGAACTGTAGCTTCACCTGAGCTGACATTTTCTCTTCCAAAGTTCTGCACTCTTTACAAAGCAGCATCAAAAGTGGTTACCATCGAACGTAAGAATGTACTTTATACTTATACTCGTGCTACTCCAACTATTTTGTTATATATTGTACTTTGACTTAAATCGTACAAATGCCTTTTAGCTTGACAATTCGAAGCAAAGGGTGAGATATTGAACTCACCCAGTGTCAGCGTCACACTTTGGTGCAAATTGGTATTTAAAAACAAGCATCAACAACAGCAGCAACAACAATAACAACAACAAAACGCACACATTTTGTCATGATGAGGCTTATGGACAGACGTAATTCAAACAATAAACAACATTTTTACGAAAATTCAATAAGTTTAATAAATGAATATTTCAGAACTTCCAGTAATAAAGTTCGAAATATCTCAAAACGTTTAAACATATACAAATAATACAAATAACATTCCGCATTTCTAAAACATGCCGTCTGTTTCATCATCTGAAAATAGAAAACAAATGTTAATAAGTTTTGTTTCAGTTTTCATAATGACTTAGTTATAAAAACAACTTTTATATCAAACGTCGACTTCCATCATTTCTGCTTTCGTTTAAATGAAACAAACATTGATGCTCTGACTAGAGAACTGATGTCGTTGAATTTATATTAACGTCTTCATAAAAATTCTATGTATGGTTTGTCCTACGCAGACTGCGCATGCGCAAGAAAGTGTTGCCTTGTCTTGATTTTTGCAAAGCAACAAAGCACGTCGTAAAAATTCTATAGAAAATGTTGTTAAATAGTGCATAAACAAGATTGATTTAGAACTTTATCAGCAAAAATTAGGTTTAGGCCGTTAAGACATCTTGAATCCCCACTTCCGCTTGATGACTGGTTATTAAAATAATTATTTCGCGTTCATGTTTATTCAGCGAAATTAGCAGAAAACGGAATGTGAAATGACACAAACTTACTTGTCTATGAGTTTCCGTTTGGAAGATCAGTTACATTATTGTCGTCTGCTTTAATACCGGAAGCATCTGTAAAATATTAATTTTCAGACTGGTGAGCATTTTGAGCAATTAATGATGGGGCATTTAAGTAATATAACAAACGGCACCAGCCTATAATCTGTTGTTAACATAGATTTCCAAAATATATACAAAAATGTATGCACATGTAACTGAAATAAATTGGAGATAAAAATGAGCTTACCTATGCAATCTGAGAATGTCTTTGGTTTGTTGTGTTTGTTTGCTGATTGGTTGATGTCGGTCTCCATGGCAATAGCTGACAAACTCTGTGTGACAGCAATGTCGGCTATTTCTAGAATCATAAAGAATAAATAATTCCTTTGAATTGTACTCGTATATTCTGCAACATTCATAATGACTCAAATGGATAAATTTTGTCTTAAGGAGATTATATAGGAATTTTTTTAAAATTAAGTTTGACTTGTAGATCTATGAACTTTCATAATTATATTTTTTTATTAAATCTTCGGTTTTACCGCACTTATGCTTTAAAGACAATTTTAACATTTGGTGTTTTTGGTGTTATATATATTTTATTCTTTGCATTAAATTTTACTTACGGCTGATCACACTTGATGTCAAGGAAATATTGTCGTCTGCGTCAACTTTGATCAGTTTGGTGTTGCTTAGCAACTGTGAGTCAGACGTCAATGTGTCGACTGCTGATTTTAGAATTCCTGCTACATATTCCTCCACTTTATGAAAGATACAAAAATAAGAAATTTGCAAAGTTATTTAAAGTATAATTTTAACTATGAATGCGTTTTCTTATTATTATTCTATAAACATATAGTTTAAGATCTAAATGTCTTTTATTATATGTTATACATGTATATATGTTGAGAACGATTTAAGGTTACAAATTAAATTACGTCGAAAATTATAGAAAATTATCAATTTTTTTCCAAATATAATTGCAAAAGTGTCTTGAATTTACCTTGTCTGTCAAAGTCCTGGTCATTTATGGCCATATCACGAGGAGTATCTGTCGCGAAAAAAAACCATATAAGAATAAACAGAATTTTAAATAAACCTAAAAAAGGATTAAAAAAAGAAATGTCAGACACTTGAATAAGGCTACATATTGAGTGAATTCCAGATATTGTTTAAAGTACAAATGTATACATGAATAAAGGTAAGCATAAAGCGCATTCATGATTATAACATAATATTGAAATAAAATTATAATCTTTTAGAACGTTAAAATGGCTGATAAAACATAGATATATTTTTTTATTTCTTTAATACAACCGAACTCGTTGATATAACTGAATTCCCTTACGTTTTGATTGAAATGTTTGAAATTAATGCAAAGATCAGCAGGTTTCATAGGTTATGATAATAACTTAGTCATCACAAACATATTAATTTTGTACAAATTCATCACTTATAATAATATTTTTTAAGTCAATGCACTAAGTTACAATAATTACACTAGAAACAAACCTATGCCAGTGTCTTTAGAGGCTAATATATCCGGTATAACAATATAGGATTTGGTCAACACCATGTCCCTAGCCCCGGTCTCATCTATGATTGTCTCTGGGTCCACTCTCTGACCCCTCCTGCCGTGCAAGCGGCGACGTAGACGGTTCATGATTCGAGCCCACTGTATAATTAAAATAACAGTATATTTGTTTGATTCTCTTTTTTTTTTGTTGTTGTTGTTTATTTATTTTTGTTGTTTTTGGTGTGTTTTTGTTTTGTTTTTGTTTGTTTTTTTATTTGAGCATGTTCTACTGTTTTCGAGGGTGATAAAAGATCATTATATCTATAACACAAGACACGGAAATACTGAAACGAAATTTGTTGTTAACTGTTCAATCCACACGTCTGATCTATTCAATTTAAATTCCTGATATCTATTCATCTATGTTACAAAAAGTAAATGTGGCTCATCTAGTCTTAAATAATGTCATCCTCCATCAGTAAAGTCAGAAAATAATAGCCATGCGATCTCTATTTAAAATCCAACTGGTTGCCCCATCCCCAACCCTCTCATTATACCTAAAGATAGTTTTAAAAAAAAAAACAACGGAAAAAACTGGACTACAGGGTATATAACGAGTTGAATAAATTCATATTATGCGAGCGTATGGCGTGCATAATATTGTTTATACAACGAGTTTAATAAATTTAGTATTGAATCTACACGAATATAATATTCTAAATAAGAACTTTAAACTATTAAAAAAGGAATGATATAGTTGCGTTAAAATACTACATACTCTTTTGTTACATGCATCTCTCAGTCTCACACACCAAGTAAAACAGCCTGTTTCTCGTCTTCAGATATTTCAAAATAAATTGTCGTAGTAAACGCAAAGATCCAGTTTGTTCTCGTTGCTAAAGAGCGACGTTGAACGTTTAATGACGTCATGACGTCATATGAGAAAGGGAGATAATCATTGTATTCTCGAATGCAATAGATTTATTAACAACATTGAGACATCGGGAACAATCAATTTACATGCCTGTCACTGGTAGCAACTATGTTGAGTTATGTCATTCTATCAACATGTATCTCCTTAACCTTTTACATACATTTTATTCTAATGCTTTATGTCGAATAAATGCCTTTCAGCCTTGAAAATATAAAAAAAGGTATCGGTGATAATTCACTTTTTTATTATTTTTGTTATAGTTATTTGTTATTGTTGTTGTTGTTGGTGGTGTTATTATTATCATCATCATCATCATCATCATCATCATCATCATCATCATCATCATCATCAACATCATAATTATTATTATTATTATTATTATTGTTATTTTTATTATTATTATTGTTATTATTATTATTATTATTATTATCAACAACAACAACTCAAAATTAATATTGATAATTAAATATTGATAAAGCAACCGTCTCAACCGTGTAACTTTATTTGTTTATGTATTTCATCAAGGCAATATTATGGAACGTCATTATCGCCCTTACAATGGCAACACTCTCAGCACTGTTGACATGCGCTGTGTTACTGATTCCAAGAGGCTTAGACCTGGTACCTATCAAACATGGACAGGAGATACAAGGTAATTAAGTTATGCAGCTGTCTTTCTTTCTATTCTTCTATACGTCATATATGTAATAATATGTAATAATTACAATGTCGTACCACGATGAATATTTCAAATGGATGTGTCCATCTTTTTATCTGGGCAATACTAGTCATCATTTTTAGGGAAAAATAAAAATATGTACCGATTCAATAGCATGACCAGACGACACGGATGTGCTGGGTGATCTAGAATGAGTTGCCGCCAGGTTGCTTTATATTAATGGCTCAAATTAATGGCACAGTTTTCATGTGACCTTATGACCTAATGCTGGTTTTTGGGGTCTTGAGTTATATTTGCACTTTTTCAAATATACAACTCTTTGTTCTATTGAAATGTGATAAAATAAATTTGAGTTTATTTCAGTAATGAACTGTTAAACTATTTTGTTATGAGTTTGACAATTTTGTTACTTTAAGATATTATTTGACATCTTCACATCATAATAACTGTTTTGTCACATGACAATTGACATAGTCAAGTTCTAACTATTTGCTTTGAGAAGCTACTGAGTTAACTACACATTTGTAAAATAATAAGGTAGTTATTCAAATTACATGTAGAAGAATTCACAGATTACTATTTAATGATTTATTGCAGGTATAGATATGGTATTCCTGCAACAACAAGCATATCCTATAGTGATGACATTGTTACACCATTTACAACAGATGTTATTGAAGGTAAATATCTTTACTCATTCATCGTATTTTTCTTTCTTTTTTTCTTTTTCTTAACGCCAATTTTACCAAATTTTTGATAAATCTCGGCGGTGACCCACAACTAATTCCAGATGATCGGTAAGAAACAATCATTAGAGTCGATGTCCGATGTTTTAATCGCAACGACCTACGATATAGCGACCGCTATATTACAAATCTGATGCTCTCCCTAATAAGCAAAGCGGATGGATTAATCTTTTATTTCAAATATTAAAGTTTCTGATAAAATTCAGTCGATCTTTTTTTACCATGAACTGCATGCAGAAGAAATATCACGTCACAGATATTTCCTTGGGTTTTACAGATCGTGAAGGATTTATAGATTCATATCCTACGTCACCGCAGACGATAAACATGACATCACCATCTTCCAATACATTTTCAGGTTTGAATCTTCAGGAGCTACCTGCACATTATGGTAAATTTCCTCACTCGTACAGTTAATTGTTAATCCTTTTAGGCGTCATTTACCTGCCTCGCCGTTCACCAAAGCATAATTAGTGATAATTATATACTAGGTGTGTGTGGGTGTGGGGAAATGGTAGGGGAGTCGGGGCATAAAACTGCATTCTTAAAACTGTTATCATAGGTGTCCTGGTATCCAACGGATTTTTTAAATTCATATAAGGACCTTTAAAAGTCCTTTAGTTAAAACCTTCGGAAAATGTTTTGCTTTTATATAAATTGTTTTCGTTGTAAATCAGACCGTTTATATTCAGCATGCATCGTGTATCATTTAAGATAAACAGGCAAGGTCTTACTTAATTATATTTGCATCATAAAGAACGTTTAACTTGAACTGGCTGGCAACCCTGTTTCATAACGTCGCTGGTGTTTATATCAAATTCACTGATTAATTTCGTAAACAGATTAGTTTCCTTTACTCTGTATAAAAAAATAACTTAGAAAAATCAACTTTATTTCAGATATCCAAAACCCGTATCACAAGTTGGACGTAGATTTAAGATCGATGCCGTCATTTATACATTCCCCCGGGGATTCAGACCGACGTGTATGGTTCAGTGGTGACTCGCTACGTGACCAGGTGGCTCCAATGACTCCTATCATAGACTACCATACACGAGACGCCGACCGTTGGGAAGACATTAGTTTTAAGCTTTGTAGCTGCTTATACTTAGTTTAAAGCTAAATCTAATTGTGAATATTTAGTGCTTAAATATGTAGTCAGCACTTACAAATCACATGAAATACATTAAATATGTCAGATAATTATGCATTAAATATGTCAGATATGCAAAAGACACGCAGAGTTCTTAATCCGTTTATAACGGAGCGGAAACAAAGTGATAAATATATAAATGTAAATACATTTTGCATAGATTGCATTGTGAATATTAGCATATACCTATTACTGTCAAACCTATTGATGAATAAAGTTTCTACAGATTTTTCAGGAGGGTAAAACGTTACTTTTTAAGAGCTATTGTTTTTTATTACTAATAACAGATTTGGTATAAAATCATTATTTCTTCTGATGACGTTTTGTTGTTGTTGTTGTCGGTTTGTTGGATTTTTTTTTAAAACTCAACGGGATTTTTGTAAGCAATAACATTTTTTTTTTTCAATTTTCAAAACCTTTTTCTTTTTTAGTATCTTGTTAGGTTCCAAATCAGTTACTCATTCACCACAAAGATGAACTATCTTTTGCTTTTTGCTCTGTTAACAATTGCTATAATTCTAAAATTATAGCAATTGCCAACAAAGCAAAATATCAAAAGATCGAATAAGAATTTTGTATGGAAACCAAAATACAACTTTCCGCTACCTTCATTACACATTACTGCACGTTCAGCTCTACTTTCTATAGACAGTAAACCTCTAACATACTGTTAATCCGTTATCAAGACATTATTAAACACGTTTGACAAATTTTAAGAATTAAAAGATCTGGATTTCTGAGTGAAGTCTTTGAATCAAGAACACTTAACCATCCGGCTAGTTTTCAGATGTTTCCGCTCGCGCCCTAAATAATACATGAATCTACATGAATCTAACATCACAAGCAAAGCTTGGAAGTCCCAGTTTCCACGTGACTCGGAATTAGCGCTGCGCTGAGTGAAAGACATTGTATATATTGGTTTCAGGTTAAAAAAAGTTATTATACTGTTAAAGGTTAAGTTTATATGTCAAATAATTTGACCTTTTATGCGTAAACTAGTTTAATTTCTGAATTTTATTTATTTAATTTTATCGAGTCAAAAGCAATAAAGTGTGTCTATCAATCAGATTGGTATCCGGGATTTGGTCAGTTCACAAGAACTTTCTATTAAATGTGCGATAATAACAGCATATGAATCATGATATTTAAGAAAGTGTCTATGATTTTGATCTACAGACTGCTTCAGAAAAAAATTTGTAATTGTGTAATTGAAGTGAACAGATAGCTCTAGTAGTAGAATCACTATAACATATGTCACTAAACGGTTTAACCACACAAACAACAGTCTAAAGCACTGTGGTCTCCTATATAATTTTTGTTAGAAGAAAATGTCCCTACTATCCCTAATTTCTTAAGTTTTTTCTCTATTTTCTTCGAAAAATTGATCTCTACTTTTACCTAACTATTTCAAAGAAGGTCACTTGTTCTCCTGCTGCTGGGTAAAATTGTAGTTGAAAAATATGTTCTGTTTTTAATAACATACGTTTTATCAGAACTTAGATTTTATCAGTTAATATATTGGTTGTTTGTATAAAGAGCTTTTTCGTTGTGCAAATAATGAACAAAGATATATTTTTGTATGCGATATAAAGTATGGGTAACCATATAAACAGAAATCTGATGGCAAGAGTTATAATAAAGTTACTTCTATGACTGCTGCGATAGAGTTGTTGGGAAAATCCAAAGCATTGTATATGTGAGGAAATGCTATTGAAACCCCTCAAATATCAAATAATGTATACAATACATTTTCAAATTGTGTTATTCCGTCAGAAATATAAATACTGGAACAAATGAAATTAAATATAGTCTTATGAATTTAATTGAAGTTCTAGACCATAAACATGAGCAAATCTTCTTTGCCTTCTTTATTTATTTCTTCATTTTTGTCTTATCAGTTAAACAACTACATATCGCGCCTTTTTGTCAAGTAAGCTAATTAACGACATATAAAGTTATAAATTTATTGACATAATTTTTTTTGCAATTAAAGCAACTTTTCACAAACCTGAATTAAAAGTAAACAGAAATAGAAAAAATGTGTTTTTTGCTTGGCGGTGGCTATTTACGTATATTAAAAAAAGCACCAGAAAACTTAATTCTCTAAATTTTTAGTTTAAGGCAAATTTATCCATAAAGTTCAATGAACTTTTGAATTATGTAGGTACAAAGAATTTATTTATAATAATGATTATTTGTGTGTATTCTTCGTGGAAGAAAGGTTGCCGTCTGCTTCGGAAAACAAACATTGTCAGCATGTTAGCAAATATCTAGAAAAATAGATAGCCTGGTGTCTAACTTCAAAAAGTGATACATATTTATACTTTTTCTGTCTAGCTTGACCTTGAACTGTAGAAAAGTACACTGAGGTTATTGTATCAATAACATACTCCGAGGCCTAGTTATTTGACCCTTCTTCAAATCAAATTATTTGACCCTTCTTGAAATTCTACATTATGACATTCATTGTTCATTAACAAGAACATCTATTACATATGACTTGACATCAGACAAAAACTCAAGCAAAGGCGGGCATTTAAGACCCCTTCCTCTCCCAAGCGGTAATTTATGAATGTCGCCATTTGAGCTTTACAGTATCGGGTTGACTTCCTTACCAAAATGAAATATTAATAAAATTCCATGCTAAGAAATAATCAATTTAGGTATTGTGGCATGTATGTATTTTGATAATAATAATGTGATATCTTGTTCATATGATAATTCATTAACATTATTAAAGGGACTCCACTGAGGTTGTTTGACATGACGGGACTGGATATAACTTTCGAGATTTGTGTTTAATCCATTGTGTTTTTTTTTCAAGAATAATGATTCTAATTGTAAATTCTAAAAATGACCCGAAATTGAAATGCGTTGTAATTGGTCTAAGAATGGCATAAAACTACGAATTTCAATTTATTTCTCAGTCTTTTGTATATATTTCTGCACGTATGATATGCCTCATTGATCTATGTAAGAAATTTAATTTTTTTTTTTGGTCATGGACCTATTGGAGTTCCTTTGACATTTGATTATTGAAATACGAATTGAAGTATTTTTCTTAACTGAATAAAGAAGTATTGCTCTCACGGTCCCTCATCCCCGAACAAATTTTTCAAAAAATTAACCTGCTTCCATGGATACAATAGCATACATGGTTTAATTTACACTAATTTTGTATTGATTATGAAAGCATATTACATGATAGCATATCAGGGAGACACAGGCAAAATTTTCATTTCTTCGTTTTTGTATTTTTCATTCATTATTCTGTAAATATCCTCAAAACAATAGACTGGGTAGTCACAGGAACTAAATTTTTCTTAAGATGGTGGTCCCCTATCTTGACCCACGTGGGTCAGGTTAGAGCGTTAAGATTTCACAATAGTTGTCAAAGTGAACTCTGGCAACTTAACGTTAAAGAAAGTGTCAAAAGACTTGTTTCAATCATACAATATCCAAAATATCTGTTATTGTAACTTCCGCGTTTTGTTCAAGTCACATGACTTGTTTAAAAACTACTCGTGATTCAGTAGGTATCTAAATTTCGTTCAGCATATATCTTAAAACCAAAAATATATAGAATTTATACAGAAGTTCAAGCTCGGACTTCAAAAAATGTCATTTTAGCGTGATTTGAGTACATAAGATCATTTTAATATTTTGGTCATTAAATTGCCTAAGTATACTATACGAAGTCCAAAATAAGTTTTGTTCACAAATATACTATTATATATTTTATTTTATTAAAAAAATTTCCGCTTAAAAATGTTCCCAATCCATGTAAACGATTAATTCATTATTGAAAGCAGGCAAACCGTGATAGAATAAAGCACAAACAATATTTGTTGTCACGGACATATTTCACATACACGTGAATAAAAATTCTGTACTTTTCTTTAATTTCATATATTCAAATGAAAAAGCATTGGTTAAATACATGTTTATGACATACATATCATTGTTCGACTATAAATGCACTTTACTTTGAATCTTTTTTATCTCATAATTTCTGAATAAAATTTAGTTTTCCACATCCGAGGAAAAGACATCATCAAAATTATTTTCCAGCCCCAGGAACGCTGTGAGTAGCGACCATAGAAAAGAATGAGACCGCCGTGATAATTAGCCACAAGATGGCTGCTCCACCAAACAGAACATCCACGACTTCGCTAACTTCACGCCATGTTACTGGAATGTTGTCAGCAGGTGCCGCCCACTTTATAGAATCGACTTTCTCCATGTTTGTCTTTTTGTCACCATCAATATCATCATCATCAGCGTTAGTGAAGCTTTCAACCTTGGTACGTTTGGGTAGGCTCTTACATTTTACAAAGCGTACAAATGTTGAAATACATTCTGGTACTGTAGTTTTATCACCCCTGTGGTAGAGATTGAGATTGAGGACTGTCACAATCATGATGAGAGAGCTAAGTACGAGGTTAGTCAGCAGGAAGTAACATATTGTCGACATGGGCTGTGACGTCTTCGGCATATTGTCACCAACAAGTGTAAGAAATACAGCTATTGCTAGTAACACTGTCATAGCAAAAGACACGCGCTCACCGGAACTTGCGGGTAGAAAGAATACAAGTACATTTAGCAATCCCATGAATAGAATCGGTAGAATGACGTTGACGATTATAAAAGTTGGTCGTCGCTTAAGATCGAGGACAACAACATAAGTTGGAAACATACCGTCAATGACCCCGGGGCTTGTCGTAGCTTTAACGAGAGCCCACTCACCATTTTCAGTGAAAAATCGTCTTGCAACTTCTTGTTGGGATGCGTGCAAATATATTTCTTCTTTAAATGATCCCCATGGCATAAATGAAATTTCACATGTTTGAATATCGAATGGGTAATAGGTGACGTCAATAGTACACGTTGTAGTCATGACGTCACCTGGCGTCCATACTGCAATACCATTATAATAGTAGCGTACTGGGTACCAGAAGTGGTCGAAACCAACAGCTTTAGTTGGTTCTACAGGATGGACAATAACTAAATCTGGTTTCCAGACCTCCGCAATTGGAACCGTTGTAGAAAATGTTTGATTGTATGCGAAAGGATTCCATTTCATTCTAGGATCTTCCCAAACAAGCCACAGAGCTCCAACTACTGATATTTTCCCCATTATTGCATCAACTTCCCGTACAGACACTAGCTCAAATGTGACGTTGACAATAACCGGTTTAGACTGGTCAACGGATGGTCGTATATGTTTGTTGTAGTCTGCCAGTAATGTTTTATGTAACGTGGCTGTGTCGTCCATTGTTTGTCCATGTATCTGGGTAGCCAGGAGAAGTAAAACGAACGGAAATGACCGTTCCAACATTGTAATTGATCTGTAAATGGAAGCAATCGTTTTTGACCAAAATTGTACACAAAAAAATGTATCAATAAGGATATTTTAAGACAAATAATAATTGACTGTTTCAATATCTGAAAACAGATTTTGTTTTATAAAAAGATAGAAAGAAAAAAAGAGGATCAAGCATAATTATATCTGTCATATTTTGCGGTTCGGATCGGTATATCCGTCCCGAGGTGATCCGCCCATTGGGCGGTAACGAGGCGAACCGCAAACATATGTCAGATATTTTTTCTTGCATATTCTACCATATTCCATTATATTTTAAATTCTTTATCTTTATTTTCAATGAAAATTTATATCATTACAACCGTAACTACTTTCATTCAACAGCGTATGAATTACAAAATCATTCATAACGGTAAAATGACGTCATCTTTATCGTGCCATTGTACAGCACGCGACTCATCTGGAACCCCCCATGCCAGATGAAATTTCCGACATGGGTAAAACTAACGGAAACGCCAGTCTGATATGCAAGAAAATAATTTTCTTCTGAAACAGTTTTATTAAAAAATCTTTTTACTAAAATAGGTGGAAAATGAGATTCAAAACAAAACAAAAATAATAAGAAAAAAAAAGGAATAAATATGTACAATAATATGAAATTAATTTTACTAAAATACTGGAATGTGTATAGTTGTATCTTTATTAAGTAAAAGATACTATATCCGTTTATATATTTATTTGAAAGTTACAAAAATTTTAGGCATTTTATCGTGATATTTAAATATAGTACAGCACTTGCGTTTTCATCATAATGCAAAACTTCTTTCTAATCATTTGAAAAATCTTCACTTGGATCTCAGAGTAAAAAATTCAGATCACTAGTTTCCAAAATACATGTACATAATTTAAGTAAGTTAAAAGTACTTACCGTTGAGTAGGGTTACTGTTGCCAATATGTCTTCAGATAGTAAAAACAAGAACTTTTAATAGCGCGTGAAATCAGCCGATAACCTCGTGATATCCAAACATTGACGTAATAAATAAAAAATATACCAAAAATACATTCACTTAAATATTGACAGAATCATTTGAACATACGCAAATTTAAACCTCTGATAAATTAGTACTAATGTGCCATTGTTTTAATGCTCTCAAAACAAGCATATTGATATCTAAATATGTCAAAAGTCAGGACGCCGGAACCGTCGGTAATTCTGCTGTCGTAACAAATTTATTCTGATACATGGTCAAAAATAAGTACAGCCTAGAAGTAACACATTTTTAGGTTGTCAACACGTAACATTTTAGAAAGATGGAAAGGGTTTGAAATTATTTATGTTGTCATAATAACATAAGATACTTCTTCAACGCGGTTTGGTTCCTAGCTTTTACATAATATAAAAGTATTTTTTTAAATTTTCCCATAATGTACAAATACAACAAAATACGCGACATACAGTTATAAATCAGTTTGTCTTGCCATTTCTATTCATAGTTTTCACGCGCATCATGCAATTAATAAATTACATACTTTTCAACATTCAATATATTCGTCATTGATAACAATCTAGTTCTCAGTGCAGTACGTAGACAACTCAACTTTTTATTTCTTTCTGCATTTTATAATGCCACAACTACATGTATATTTGCACACTATCTACATTTTACTCTCTTCCTTAATGTAGCAACTAAAGAATAAAATTAGCAGAATTCATTTGTAAAAGACTTCAAATAAGGAAACGGCAATTACCAGCGAGCAGTAGATATTTATAAAATGGAAATGGAATTCATTATTTATGTACCCACGGTGATTTACGGTAAAAAGCCTGGTTTACCGAGGATGTGTGCTAGTAAATCAACTAGCATAAAGTCTTAAATTCTCGCCCTAGTTTACAAGATTGATTGTGGCAATTATTTACCACTTGAAAAATGTACAGCTAGCATTTCCTTTATAAAAAGTTAAAGTTCCAGTATTGGTAAGTTTATGAGAGCGGATGTACAGATTTTACGAGTGAATGGGTCAGACTTAAAGAAATATATTTCAAGACATCTTGTAAAAAGAAATATCGAAAATTATTGAAGTAAATTCTTAGAGGAGAAAAACATTGAAAGAGAATGGGATAATCCTCCTAAAATAACTATATCACTTATTTGTTGAAATATTTACATGGATTAAGTAATACAAAATGTTATGAAATAAACGGAAACAAATGCCAATAAATCATTTCCTTATTTCTTGGAAAAATACAAAAATAGAAAAAAATGTAATTTAAAGGGATGTTGATAAATTCATATATTTCATGTAATATATGTTTAATCTTATAAAACAACTATAACACCGGCTGCCGGTACAGACCGGAATATCTAGTTCAGGGTAAAGTTCTAACTACGGCGGTAACAAGGCTCTGCTGGTGAATGCAGTAGAAAACATAGTTCTGGCTTCCATTACTTCATATGTCGCTGTTATTTTGACGTAGTGCGGCAGTAATATAAAACCTGTTCGCTAATGTCTCTTTAGCTATAGAAAACACTGTCTGATATGCACGTAACTTATGGTTATTATCATAGTAATTTCAAAATGAGTTCAATCTTTCATTGAAAATACCTTCAAATAATAATAATAATAATAATAATAATAATAATAATAATAATAATAATAATGTCATAAAAAAGCAGCAGCAAAAAACATAGCAGCATACGGGTATTCCGCAATCGCAACTTTTCTGCCCTTAAAATGCAGGAAAAAGGAATAAAAACAAGAGGAGTATAATAAAACGTTTCTTAATTCGGAGTTAACATTATAGAACTTTGTTGAACACCCTCATCCATATTTGGTGTGATATCACGAGATTATTGAATTGTTTGACAGCTATAAAAGTGAGAACTTTTTTCAGATTTGCATTTCAAAACTACAAGAGCAGAGAGAAGTACGTATAGTTTTCACTATTTGTAAAGATGAATCGTATATAATTTGCAAACTTTTCGGAATTTTTCAAAACGTTTCAGAAGATCAAAATGTGCCTATTAAAATATGCCTCACTAAACGAGCAACTGTGTTGATAAAAATGTTTTGACTGAATCTTAATAAACATTTAAACTTAAAGAAATGAGGCAAGACAGACAAGAGGTACGTCTCTTTCAGACTTCAGTCAGGAACAAGTTTTTATCTTATTTTCATAAATTAAGATAAATTTTCACTCGATTAAATGTTAAATTTAATGTACCACAGATTAAGTAACAATGTTGGAACGGTCATTTCTGCTCGTATTACTCCTCCTGGTTGTCCAGGTACATCATGGTCAAACAATGGACGACGCAGCCATGTTACATAAAACATTACTGGCAGACTACAACAAACATATTCGACCATCCGTTGACCAGTCTAAACCGGTTATTGTCAACGTCACATTTGATCTGGTGCCTGTACGGGAAGTTGATGAAATAATGGGGAAAATATCACTTGTCGGAGCTCTGTGGTTAATCTGGAAAGAACCTAGGATGTTGTGGAATCCTTTTGCATATAGTCGTACTTTTTCTACAAGGCTTTCTATGTCCGAAGTCTGGAAACCAGATTTAGTAATATTACATATCCTGTAGAACCAACGAAAGCAGTCGGTGCAGATCACTATTGGTACCCAGTTCGTATTTATTACGATGGAACTGCCGTCTGGACGCCTATTGACGTTGTGACTACGACGTGTACTTTCGACATAACGTATTACCCATTTGCTGTACAAACTTGTGAGATTTCCTTCATGCCATACGGAGCTTTTGTAAACGAAATTTACCTACATGCCGCTGAAAAAGAAGTTTCAAGACGTTACTTTACAGAGAACGGAGAATGGGCTTTAGAAAAGGCAGAGACGGTTTCTGGCCTCATTGATGAACAGTTTCCGACCTTTGTAATTGTTCTCGAGCTTAGAAGAAGACCAACGTTTGTGATAGTCAACGTCATACTACCGATTTTATTCATGGGATTGCTAAATGCACTTGTATTCTTTCTACCAGCAAGTTCCGGTGAGCGCGTGTCTTTTGCTATGACAGTGTTACTAGCAATAGCTGTATTTCTTACACTTGTTGGTGACAATATGCCCAAGACGTCACAGCCCATGTCGACAATATGTTACTTCCTGCTGACTAATCTCGTACTTAGCTCTCTCATCATGATTGTGACAGTCCTCAATCTCAATCTCTACCACAAGGTTTATACAACTACAGTACCACATTTGTACGCTTTGTGAAATGTAAGAGCCTACCCAAACGTACCAAGGTTGAAAATCTCCCCGACACAGATGACACGGAGAAGAACATCAACTCAAAGAAAACTGAAAAAATAAAATGGGCAATGGCAAGGCACACGGAATCCGTGAGTTGGCGTGAAGTTAGCGAAGTCGTGGATGTTCTGTTTGGTGGGGCTGCCATATTATGGCTGTTTATCACGGCGGTCTCATTTTTTGCTATGGTTGCTACTCACAGCGTCCCTGGGGCTGGAAAATAACTTTGTACGTTGTGAAAAAAGAAACCGCCAATGGCAAACATTATTTGTACATAACAGTTAAATAGCGTTATGTGAAAGATATACATGTAATTGCATATGTAAATAACCACAATTTGGATTAAAATGATTCATGCTATTTCAAATCATGTATATGCAATGTATATTTCTTTTATATATACACAGACGACCACTTCCGAATTTGCAAGAAATCATACAGTATTTGTCTAACAGTGTTACACATTTCGAGCATTGGAATGTTATTGAATTTGATTCCGAAATTATAATTATTTTGTGTGTATATATATATCGCACAATGAATTGCTTTCATCCATTAATTGTTTCTTATGCTTTTTCTCATGCTTTTCGTTAAAAACCGGCACGACATTACTTGTCTTTTTTCCCATGATTAGACTATATTTTGAGAAGACTGTTCCTGGATGGATGTTAAATAGCCATCGACGATAGGGATAATTTCCGTAAGAAATAGTTGAAGAATTGTTTATTGCCAAATCCACATATTATATAGCCCAAAGTTCATTTGTACCAAGTTTGGTGCTTTTCCCAATTTCTTAAGTATTTTTTTTCCATTTTTGGACAATATGAACAACAACAGTCCAATTTAACTAATCAGCCCTAGATGTATATACATTAATCGCTAAAAAATTGCATTTAAAATTATGAGAAAACATAATAACTTACACATAAACACGTGTGAAATTCGCAATTTTCAGCTTGAATCGTCCGAAAGAAATACGGTTAGTTTACCCACTGTGGTATACTAGGCCTTAAGTATAAGCATAAAATAACTTGACGAATTCTTTTTCCGCTCGTAAATAGACCTGTCAATAATGGAAATAGGAGCTTTTTATTACAATTATTTAAAAGTTACAACCATCTTGATTGACCATAAACCTTTATTACTAAGGGCGCTTTCATATCCAAACTGTTAAACGTAGAACTGGTATTTCTGGATGCAATTTGCAAACAATAAAAAGGAGCAACAGACAAAATGCGTCATGTGACTACCGTAGTTGTTTTCTTAAATGCGAAAGGACGCAATACCTGAAACATATCATGAACTTCTGACAACAAAAAATATTGCAACATCTATGTTGGTTTAGATTTGCCGACAGATAAATACCCTGTTCCAAATGTTTGTTATAAACAGCCACCTGTTACAAGCAATAGCGTGTATTAAAAACGAAACAACATAAGCATTGCCGTTTTAGCTCCGAGTGAAGTCCCCCCAGTACGTGCACGTCGCTGAAATGCATAGAACATCGGCAGGTGGTTATTGATCCAATTCAAGATTTAAGACGGCCAGGTCTGTAGCTCGGGATGGAACCAGCTGTTGATGTCCTGACAGAAGCGAAGAGGAGTGGCCCTACAAAATGGACAGGGACAACGAAGATTGGTAATAGGGTGCATGAATCCTTAAAACGTAAAGACAACTTGTAAGGCGCCAACAACCCTTATAAGAGCTACTTTCTTCATTACTATACTACTGTACATTTATGTGGTCGTTGACCACTGTACAATGACGTACTTTCTTCTTGGCTAATACTTTAATGGGTGGATGGATACTCATTAAACATAGACTACATGCAGACCCTTAGCAATGGTCAAATCAGGTATATAAATAAAGACAATGAATGTTGATGGTTCAGGTATCACAATTTTATTTATACGTTAACAATAAAACATAAATAGCAATATATCCCTCGGTAAATATAAAACACATTTTGTCCCTCGTATTCCATCTCTTTATACAGAAATAAACAACATAAAATTATAACATAGTTCGCCAACTTTAAACCTAAAATTTGAACAAATGCACTAAAAAGCTACAAAATATTTCAAAACACTGAGTAATTTAATCTGCCTTAGACAGAGGTACAATTAATCTCCAAATTTTGCTTCGACATTATAAGACATTTTCTGCTCATTGCCAAATTTTGCAAACTATCTTGTTTTTTATGAAAATTGCAACAATCCTGTTCACTGATATAAATATAAAATCAATTTCCTACAAACCTTTAATATCTTTTATGCTTCATAAATAAAAATGAACTAAACTCTATATATTGTGTAATATTTTTTTTTTATTTAAGCAATTTCTTAAATTAAACTGAATGCACATTTTATAGTTTGAAAATCATGTCCAAACGAAGTTTTTTCCAACTATTTTTTTATCTTCTGTCTAATCAGTGCCTAAAATAGATGACCCTGGTAACTAGCATATCAACTACCATCTATCTTATAATTATACAAATAAAGAATTTGCATAAAAAATGTGACTGGAAGCCATTTTGTTTTTTATAGTTCCTCCATGAACATTTAAATGATACAAAAGTATTTTATTGAAAGACCCTATCTACTTCATGTATCCACACAAATCATGCTATAAACATAATTTTGGAGAGGTGATATAGCCCATTACTGGCTGTAAGCTAATATAACCCAAACTCATAGGCAAGGTGTAATTGAAAATGGTTATACAGTATAACCACTTCAGTGAGGTTTTCATAGCAAACAACAAGGCCATAATAACTTACCAACTTATAATACTGCACAACTGCCTTTTTTTAATAAAAATACAGTACAACTTCTGCAGACCAATACACTTTGGGACACAAAGAATTTGTTAGTTAATAAGAAGTGTTGCTCTAGAAAAAAAAATACTTAGTTATGAAATCTTAATTTGGGAAAACACTGACATTGTTCTAGTAAAGAGGGTTGTCTTGCAGAGGCTACATTGAAATTAAACAACATATGTCTTAGTGAATAAGTTCTGTCAACAAAATTGATAGAATACCTCAAAACAACAGAAGTGAAAACTTAAGGAAGTGTGTTTCATATTTTTGCAGTGACATACAGTTGATTTACTTTGGATAGGATTTCATCTTGTATTTCTTTTTGTTATGGTTTAAATCACAACTACATTAGGTTACAGGTAAACATACAATATGATTGGATGATGCTACTCTGAGACTGGTACCTAAAATAATACCCAAACTCATTGATATTTTGAAAGTAAAGATTGAACCAGTCCAGCCCTTATTGTATGACATAAGACATTTTCGCATGCTACAGTGTACCTGAAAGAACTATAAATACATTCTTTGGAACGTTCAAAATTGAACTATCATAACATATTTCATTTCAAAGTACAAAATATCCTATAATAAACTGGAATACACAGAAATAACAAAATGAAACTCGGTAAAATAAGTAACATTTGCTGATGGCAACTAGATTGATACATCAAATAGATCTTATAACATGTTCATATGATATATTTTTGTGATGAATATAATCAAAAACACCTACACAATATTCTAAATACATTACAATTTACATCTGTAATCAACATACAACATCAAACGTCCATGAATTTATTTCAATATGTTAACTTAATGATCAGCCATTGCTACCAGTATAGAGCCAGGCCAACCTGTAAATCTGTACACTCTGAACAAGCTCTATACTGTTGGCTGACTTAATTTAAATTTTCAAACTGAAATTCCCAAAATATTGGAGTCCCAAAATAATGGAAAGTCCCAAAATACAGGACAGTCCCAAAATACGGGACAGTCCCAAAATAATGGACAGTCCCAAATTACAGGACAGTCCCAAAAATGAACACTCAATTAGTCAATTAAAGAGATTTTGTTAGTTAGTTTATACAGAATTTATTTTAATTTATTTGTGTTGGAAGCTATAAGTTTATAGAAACACTCTTGAATCTGTTCCTGGAACAAACAAATGCTAAGCATTGCATGTAAAGTTTTTTGTTCAAGGAAACAACTGCTTGGCCCTGAACAGGTTTGGACCCACATGGCCAACAAATTTGTTTACCTACATGAGATAAGTAACTAGTATGTAACTTGTAAGATTTTCAATTTTTTATGTCATGACACTTACTAATTTTTATTGATAACATCTATAGTAAAACAAATAACTATTTCAAAATTAAATTTAAACACTTTCATATTTTTACCTAAATTAATAGCTTGTAAATGCAAAGTTCTGTTTCCTTATCTGAGATCCTTTATATGATCAAACACTAAATCGAAATGATCACACAATGACAACATGATTACATGTTATACACATTGTATCAACTGTACAAATATGATCACACTGATTCAACATAATCACACTGCTTGAACATGATCACACTGTGCAACATGACCACACTGCTTCAACATGATCACATTGTGCAACATGACCACACTGATTCAACATGACCACACTGCTTCAACATGATCACACTGTGCAACATGACCACACTGCTTCAACATGATCACACTGCTTCAACATGATCACACTGATTCAATATGATTGCACTGATTCAACATGATCACACTGTGCAACATGATCACACTGATTCAACATGATCACACTGATTCAACATGATCACACTGTGCAATATGATCACACTGATTCAACATGATCACACTGATACAACATGATCACACTGATTTAACATGATCACACTGATTCAACATGATCACACTGATTCAACATGATCACACTGATCACACTGTGCAATATGATCACACTGATTCAACATGATCACACTGATACAACATGATCACACTGATTTAACATGATCACACTGATTCAACATGATCACACTGATTCAACATGATCACAGAAAATAACTATAAAGTGTAAAAGACTCACAGCTATATAATACTTTAACAAATATGAAAGCATTTGCTGAGGCAGATTTCAATGTAATGGATAAATAACAGTTTATACATTGTCTTTTCAATAAAAGAAAAAAATGAAAATTCTGTAAAAAAGCTGAATTTATATTGACACAATAACATTATCTCTATAACATATCAGATGTCATCTTTATATTTACTTCATTTGTTTGCATTGCCAATACTATCATTAATTTATATACATTGTAATGCAAGTTTTGTTCAATATTACAACAACATTGATTAACACATTATTAACTACACATTGTATTAAACTATACACTTTTCTGTACAAGTCTTTACAATCTACAATAATATCTTTAAAACACAAAATGCAACAAGGAATCTCTTTGTGAGAAGACTTTAATACAGACATAACCAGGAAAACAAAAAATTACTGAACATATAAAAACTTACGAAATCTATCTAACCCAAAGGATTGAAAAAAAGGAGAATATAACAACAATTTTTATGACGTTATTTAAAATGATGAGTTTGAGCAACAATAAAGTGACTTGTACTGCATAGATAAAATAAATGACACAATTTATATTGTAAATAAAAAAAAATAAAACTCTACAGAAAGAATGAAAACCACAAGAGCTGTCACAGGAGACAGCGAAGCTCGACTAATAAAATACTAAACGCAGTAAGGAGGACAAAATTATGAAAGAAAAATCAATTATGTATAATTATGTATTAAGTTATAGCAAAAAAATAACATTTGTTTACATAAATTCCAAGATCAAGGGGAATAATTCTAGAAATAGTCACGCTAGAGTTATGAACCTTGTCACACAACATGTGTGTAATGATTGTTTGAAGTAGATACCTTAAAAAGTAAAGAAGTTATAATATAAGTATGAAGTTGATCCCTTTAGAAATAAATAAGTAACAGTAAAAAATAATAATTTTTAAGGAAAATTCTAAGTTCAAGGGGAGATAAATCTGAAAATATTGGTGTTAGAGTTATGAACCTTGTCACATAAGATGGGGATGATAATAAGGTACATATATTTGAAGTATGAGGTTGATCCCTTAAGAAATAAAGAAGTAACAGTAAACAAGAGCTGTCCGTAAGACAGCGCGCTCGACTTTTTTATTGCTTGCCAATAAAAAAAGTTTTTGCAGTAAAAGGCAATACAAGAATCTCTGTATTTTTAAAGTGAACAATGGCCATGAGCATTAAGATATTTAGTGAAGAATTATTTTATTATGACATAATTTATGGTAAAGTGAACAAGTGGATAGGAATGAATTTTTTTAGATTTTTTAAGTTTTTTAGTGCTTGCCTATAATACAAAACATTGACAGTTAAGGGCCATAATTCAAATAAAATCTTTGACAGAATTACCTTCTCCTGGACATGTTTGGGAATCATGATTGTAAACAAGTATTCCAACTTTCAAATTAATATCTCAAACAGTTCAGTCAAAAAGTGGACTGGTACTAAAAAAAACTTAACCAAGATTCTAAGTCGATAAAAGGCCTTAATTTTTAAAACAAATCCTTGACAGAGTTACCTTCTCTTGCGTACAGATGGGGGTAATGATGTGAAATAGCATTAAAAGTTTCAAAGCAATATCTCAAAGGGTTAAGGCAATAAGTGGATTTTACCCATATTCAATGTATTTTTCTAAGTCAAAAAGGGGCATAATTCTGTCAAAAACCTTGACAGAGTTATGTCCTCTTGTCTGTTGATGAAGGTCGTGATGGTAAACAAGTATGGTCAGTTTCAAAGCAATACATCCAATGGTTTTGAAATAAAGTGAGGTGGTACAAAAAACTTAACCAAGCTCAATACACTTTCTAAGTCAAAAAAGGGCCATAATTCTGTCAAAAACCTTGACAGAGTTATGTACTCTTGTCTGTAGATGGAGGTTATGATGGTGAACAAGTATGGTAAGTTTCAAAGCCATACTTGTAATACTTCTGAAATAAAGTGGGGTGGTACGAAAAACTTAACCAAGGTGTGACGCCGACGCCGGGGCGAGTAGGATAGCTCCCCTTTTCATAGAAAAGTCGAGCTAAAAATAGTATTTTTTAAGGAAAGTTCAAGGGGAGATAAATCTAAAAATATTGGTGCTAGAGTTATGAACATTGTCACATAAGATGTGGTTGATGATAAGGGACATATATTTGAAGTGTGAAGTTGATACCTTAAGAAATGACAAAGTTATAGTGAAAAATATTTTACTACACCTAAACTTTAATCTGAAATCTGGACGCCGGGGCGAGTAGGACAGCTCTCCATATACTTTGTATAGTCGAGCTAAAAATGAGTCAGTATAAGAGATAGAGATAATATTGTTGTTCAACATACAAGTATTTATTATGCCATATTCTTGACTATAATTGTATTGTCAAATACTTCATACAAAAAGGTTGCAACTGAAATAAGGGGGGGGGGGGGGCATCTTTCCTGTTCAGACCCTTAATTGTATGCTGAAAAGATCAAAGACAATAATCCATACAGTAAAACAATAACCAGAATACTGTTACAAGAGACCCAAGTGGGCCTATATCATCTACCTGAGTAAACAGTAAAGTAGATAAAGTTTTCTGTTTCTGTTCTTAAATAAACAAGCTTAAATATTAAAGTTTTAACAAAAATTGTACAATAACAATTAATTAATTTTATTACCGAGCTATAATTGCATACCTCTGTAAGCTTTTTTTTCTTATTATTATTACTTAAACAAACGTTATTTGCAGTTGCATACCATTTTAAGTTTTTTTCTTAATATAACTCAAACAAAGTTTCATATACAATGATATAAACCTTTCAAAAGAAAGTCATATGTAAACTTAAGCAGTCAATAGTTGACTGTAAACAATAGCTGATTGTAAACTAAAAGTGATAATAATAAATAACAGATAATCATAAATAATAGTCGATTAAAAATCAAAATTGAATAGAAAAATAAGAAAATTGAAGAAACAATTGGAAACAGAAACATATTTCAATTTGACAGAGTTATAACTATATCTGTCCTCATTATGTAATTTTATGACCACTTTTAATCACAACTGGTAAATAAATGTTCAATCAACCTGGCGCAAAATTTATGGCACACTTTATATCATAACCTGTATTATAGAAAAATAATGTGTATCTTACACAAAACATCTTTAACCACAAAAACACCAACATCCATTCCCTCTCTTTTTCTTATAGATAACTTTTAAATATTTCTTTGGAATTGTCACATCACATTTAAGATACACAGTTTTTACAGACAGAAAGTTTACATCTATTCCTAAACAAAGACATGTACATGACTAGCACTTCAAGCTAAGAAAGCAATGATTTCAAAATATTCACAATTATAATACATGCAAACAGAAAAATAAAGCAGTGATAAAATAACCGGTACAGGAAAAAAATGCAAAAATTGGTCACAAGGAAAACAAACTAACCTAAATTGTCAAGACAAGGCAATAAATTTCACTTTACGAGTTGTTACATTTTGAGCTAAAAACTAAATCATCCAATGCTAAAGTTGCATATGGAGATTGTCTAAAAATCTCATACTCTTAACCATTCTTTGGCAAAAATTTCGCAGCCATGTGTTATTATGAAAATATTACATGGCTGTCCGGGTGTCAATCCAAGAACTCTGAGGTGCAGTTTAGAGGTAATATTCCAGTTCAAGGGGTAGATCATGAAATCATTAACATTCAACTACATATTGTTACATTACATGTTACCTCAGACTTTCTTTTTTCTCAACCTCTGAAACATCATCACACTTTGTCAGGAACAATCATACGTGTATGAATGATAATAGTATACAAAAAGTCATTAATAAACTAAAAGCGGAATTCTTCTGATCTATAACTTAAAGTGTAAATATATAAGATTCAGGAATTCCTGTGATATTTTTCATGATTGATCTGAAGCAATTCTTGTGATAATCCAACATGATTTACCCAGACAATACGAGAGTGATGGCCGAGGCGTGTTTGTATGTTTGTATACATGTAGTCTAACTTATGACTATGAAAGCTCGGGACATTATTAAAATATCAACTAGATCAAATTAATATTAGACATCAAAATAACCCTAAACCTGCTGGCGGTAACTGAATATATTCCTGTGTCTGATCATAGTCTGCAATATACAGTCAGTACTTATCTTTAAATTTTCCTTTAAAATGATGAATGATATTGTCCAAATTTAAAGATGGATAAGTCAGATTAAGATATATAGCAGGGTTGGGGATTATCAAGGGCAAGGCAAAGCATATTGACTTTAAGCTAGCTAGGATTTACTATATGCATGTACAATATACAAATATAACATGATTTCATATCATAAACAGAAAAGCAGAATTTCAGACACCATAGCACTATAAAGACTTCTCTAAAACAATACTGTTATATTTTGTTTCACAGGAGATACTAACATGTCTACACTCTTCTGCATGCGAGAATTATCTTTACTGTACATACCTATAAATAAATGTATAAATATACACTTGCTGATTAATGTACAAATACAATGTACAATGCAAACAATGTTACACATGATAACTTAATTTCTATATATCTGACATTACTTATATCTTTATTAAGTTTAACTGTAGGCAAAGATAGCTATATCTAACTATTTTCACAAAAAGCTCAATTAAAAAAGATCCCTGATTCTATGTAGAGTGTCTATGACTTACAAACCTGGACATCAAACACTACATAACATTTGTACATTATTAGATCAGTTTGACTAGCTTTCTGTAGTAAAAATTATAAATAATTCCATAATCTGAAAAATTGTAGAAAATACAGTAAACTTTTTTAATAATAAAGGCGAGCATCAAAATCTGTTTACCAATAATAGGTCACAACTTTATTTCAGAAAGTAGTAAATGTGCTTTAACATGCATCCGGCGTTACATGATCGTTGACCATCTTTATAATTACAGCTTACAGGTGATAGTTTGACAGACATTAATATTACACTAATTATAATAAATAATAAAATGTCATTACAAATTTGGATATGTTTAAGAAGAACTGATTATAAAATAAACATCAGACTGTGTTAAAGTGTGATAATGAGATCTATATATTTACACTAAACTCATCTAAAGTCAAGTCATTTGTTAAATATATTATACACTAATTTACTGAAATGAGCAAACAAAAACAAAATTACTCTACTAAAAAAACAACATTAGTGTTTGAAGTTATATTTCATCCCTTGGGATTGCACTATTTTAATTGGATCTTAACACATTTACTTTGGTTCAAACAGTTATTTGTTTAATTTGTTTGATTAGGTTTTACGTCGCACCAACACAGTATAGGTCATATGGCGACATTCCAGCTTTACTGGTGGAGGAAGACCTCAGGTGCCCTTCCATGCATTATTTCAGGCACAAACGGGTACCTGAGTAGAACCACCGAGGTTCTGAAAGCTAGCTGGATAGCTTCCTCACATGAAAGAATCTAAAGTCCCTGTCGGGATTCCAACCCACAGCGTGAGGAGCAAATGGTTTGAAGTCAACGACCTTAACCACTCAGCCACGGACGCCCCTTCTTACAGTTGAATCGTCTATTAATCTGGCTAGTTTATGAACTGTTGTTTTTTTTGTTAGTTTGTTGTTTTTTAAATAATTTCAAACACTAAATTGGTAAGTGTTCATAAGTAAGCATTTACCAAATTGAATTTGGTCAAGCGACGGCGCCTTTCTTGAGCAATTTAATTTTGTAACTGCTTTCAAATAAACACTAACCTGTACATATGAAAATTTCAGTTTTCTGAGCAAGGAATGTATTAACAAATGATAATATCCGAATATTCATAGTAAAAAAAAAACAAAAATAAAAAACCAACCAAAAAGTGTTGTACTATAATCGAAAAATCGAAACCCTAGTTACTTTTGACTATTAGTTGAATTATTTCGTTGTCTGTATTGTTCAGATGCTATAAGTTCCTCCTGCATCAGTTGTAATGTAGACAATAATGATTCTTTCTCCCGTTTAGCGTCATCTAATTCCTCTTGAAGGGTAACAACTCTTTCCATCATTGTAGCATTTTCCGATTCTAAATCAGCATTAACCTTCCTTAGATCTTCCATCTCGTCTAGGGAAGGACCACTTGACATAGCAAATGATTTCAGTTTTTCCCGTAATTTTTTGTTCTCGTCTTCTAAATCTACCAATCTCTCGTTTTCTTTTTTAAGTTTCTCTAACTCAGTATCTTGTTTCTGAGAGTGGTTATCTAACTTCTCACAAAGTATTTTTAGCTGTTCATTTTGGCTTATCAACTTGTAAACATTTTTCTCGATATCAGCTGGTAGGTTAGAGAAATCTAATTTGTTGTCTGCTAAATTGGCGTCTGCATGTTGTTTCGCTGTTTCTGATTTAGACATATCTGACCCAGTATCTTGTAATCTCTGTTTGGAATCTATAAATAACACACAGAGTGTTTAAAACACAGCTACTCTAATTTTCTTTTAAATTTATAATGTGTTTAAAATACTACATTGTTAAGTGAAAAAAATATCCTTTTCGCAAAAATTGTAGAAATATGGTATTAAAAATGAATGAATTCAGTCTGACCTATTGGACATTACAAATGCAAAGCATATGGCTTGGAAATATTTATTTATTTCTAAAACTTCACATGTTATTTTCTTCATAATAACATTTTGAAAATGTATTTACTCATCTGTGTATTGCATTAAAAAATCAAAACACTGTGAAATAGAACTGTCTATGAGCCATTAAGCAAAATAGAAAATCATTACTTCTGTAAAGAAATTTCTCACAGACAAAAGTTTTACTTTGCTTTCATAAATCACATGCTTAGCTCAATAGGAGCAGCATCTGATTTGTATTTATACAGGGGGTTGCTGGTTTGATCCTTGGACTGGGCAGAATTTCTCCCTGATAATTGATCTCTCACATTAAGACTAATGGTCATTGTTTCTCCACCGCTGATTTAAAAATCATGCGGGAGAAGTTATTGTTCAAGGAATCATTCACTTTCAAAGGACTTAAGTAGGTACATGCTTAAAACTATAAGCTTTTTGCAACTGGCTGGATAGTTTCCTTACATGAAATGATTCACAAAGTTCCATGGCAAAATTCAAATTGCAAGGGTGTGTGATTCAAAGCTACTTAAGCTCTCGGTAACTTTTATTCTCTACATGACTAGATCACTCAATATCCTGTAAATGATTAGACCACAAATGCCCTGACTTATTTGATATTTTCAACAACAAAGAAAGTACCTGTAGTCATATGGAAGACACCATCATCATGTCTTTGTATAAACATGTGATGAATATTAAGGTTGACTGGTTCGGCACTGGCTGCAGCATGGCTAGCAATCGGGGGTGGTCGGTCCTCCTGTATAATATATCAGATAAAATAAGTAACATTACTCAATAATTACTATTTAAGTATAATTATACTCGAGGTAAGTTAAAACCCTCTTTTCTAGATCTGACTCAGAACATGTGTGGAATTTTAAGTAGAAATATTAACTTTCCATGAACCAGTTCGATAGCTCTCTTAAACATGGATTTGAAACCATAGTGTATTGAGTAAACGATTCAAAGTCAAAAACCTTAACCAGTCAGTCCCCTTGGACTCTTAATAATTGGTAAAAGCTTAAAATGAGCATTAAATATCATGAAGAAGAAAAACTCAACCTTAGCCTGCAGTGGTATCTTTTGCATCTAGAATAGGGCCAGGCCAGCCTGAATATCTTTACAGTCCAGTCTGACCAGGCTATATACGATAGATAGCTTAATTATGCATCTTGATATAGAAACAACTTCAACATGGAATAGACTGTTCAAAATGGGAATGTTTATTACTCAACTTCACATATTTGTGTATATATATAGATGATCATTTTGCATCAAAAAGATACCAAGATTTCTCAAAAATCAAGTCTATAAATCTAAATAAATGTGTACTAAGTAAACATAGCAATATAAGAGAAAGGTACAAACCAGGAGTGTAAGTTTGAAGTTATCCACTATTATATGCATGGGTGTAGGTATAGCCACTTTCTCGTCTTCGATAAAACTTGTCATATTTAAAATGCTGGTCATACGGAATGTAAACTCGTAATCTTTTACCCGGATTTCCATCACACCAAGCTCGGACCCCTTTGGGGCCAAATGTTCTGCACATGGTCCTTTTGTCATTTTGAATTTAATCGGATATGTTCCAATTTTGAAAAGTGCTGCATTTCTCACAACCCCTGTATAAAATGAAAAATATAAATACAACAAAATGTATATAATGTAACTTCTTGGCTTATGAGAGATTACAATTATCACCAAATTCTCCTTGACTGTCCACATTTACTTTATCTTTGTTCAACAACTCGTTAATACAATTTACTAAAAAAAATCATGCCATAAACATTACCACTGTCCAAAAAAAATTGACATAATAGCCTATAAGAAAACTTACACTGGTTGCTGGTACAGACCAGAAAATCTAGTGTAAGGGTAACAGTCTTTAGCAGTAATAAGGCTCTATTGTATTTCAGCTTAACAATTCTTCCCAAGAGCTAGATATTGCAGACTGTCACAACAGTCTGTGTTTGATTCTTTTTTTTTGCATATGTTTTGGTAAAAAAAATGACAAAAAATCTTTTTTTCTAGCACTGGTGTAAACAGTAGAATGTCCGGTCTTGTACGCAAGAAAGTATCAAAATGATCATTATCAATATATTTCATTTAGAAGTATACATTTGGTTATAAGTCATGAATCATACCATTTTGGGAGGAGAGTTTTGCATAGAAATCTTCGTAAGGTGTGTTCCCAGTCTCTTCACAATCTATGGCCTTTGTCTGTAGTGAGATGAACATATCTTCACCTATACTCTGTATCAATAACTCAATCCCTGATAGTCGAAACACTACAGCTGACACCTGAGGAAATAATCAAATGTAACATTATAAAAGACTCCGAGTGTTACTGTTCACTCTGTTGGGAACTGGTTCATGCCCCTTGTAAGGATATCTCAAAAATTACTGAATGCCTCTTTCAAAATTGAAGGAAGAAGTTGGTATAAATTGAAATAAAGGAGCAAACAGTATAGTTCTTGAGCTTATTCTTTTAACACTTCTTAGATAACTATTTGCCACCATAACCCCACAAATATATGATATATATATTGCTAAAACTGTAAAATATATATCAAAAGTGTCTCTTATTCATTTTAAAACCTAAATGCTTGTTAATTCACAATATTACTTTCCATAGATAATCAACACTTAACTATATCAGACACTGTCAATACGAGAATGATTGATGCAAAGTATTGTGTAGTTTTTATTGTTGTTATGCAACCTACATGTAAAATATTCCACCAGTGCATGAATGTATTGAACAACCCTCATACAATAGATTTGAAATGAAAAATTGTAACAAAGTTATCTCACCACTTCTTTAGCCCTTGAAGCAGACGTACTTTCAGCAAACACGCTGGACAGGTCGTCTGTGTCTGCTGTAGATGACGTCTCGGACATGTGACTGTGGTTAAACGCTGGCGCCTCATTATCATCAAGTCCCAAAAACTCAAAATCATCGTCATCTGATGTGTCTGTTCTTATCGAAATACTACAAACAGAAAATTAGTACAATTATGTAGTATCATACAACAATGAAAAATAATTGATTTTTTTTTAACTTAACTTATTACAAAACCTTTCCTTCACACTCTAATGCCATAGCAATGAAGAGATATCAGCTTTCTGCATTTCCCTGACTTTAAAATGCTAGTGATATCTGGAGGTTTTAAATAAAATATGCCAAATGGTGTCAATGACAAATGCTTAATGAGATTCAAAATATCTAAGAACACAAAGTCAAGTTTGACCTTACTTATAATATAGGAATTACAGTATCTGAGGACACTAAGACAAGTTTAAACTTACTTAAATTATAGGAATTACAGTATCTGAGGACATTAACACAAGTTTAAACTTACTTAAATTATAGGAATTTCAGTATCTGAGGAAACTAAGACAAGTTTAAACTTACTTTAATATATTATAGGAATTACAGTATCTGAGGAAACTAAGACAAGTTTAAACTTACTAATATTATAGGAATTACAATAACTGAGGACACTAAGACAAGTTTAAACTTACTTATATTATAAGAATTACAGTATCCGAGGAAACTAAGACAAGTTTAAACTTACTTATATTATAGGAATTACAATAACTGAGGACACAAAGTCAAGTTTAAACTTACTTATAATATAGGAATTACAGTAACCGAGGGCACTATGTCAAGTTTAAACTTACTTAAATTATAGGAATTACAGTATCTGAGGAAACTAAGACAAGTTTAAACTTACTTATAATATAGGAATTACAGTATCTGAGGGCACTAAGTCAAGTTTAAACTTACTTATAATATAGGAATTACAGTATCTGAGGGCACTAAGTCAAGTTTAAACTTACTTATATTATAGGAATTACAGTATCTGAGGACACTAAGTTAAGTTTAAACTTACTTATAATATAGGAATTACAATAACTGAGGGCACTAAGTCAAGTTTAAACTTACTTATCACAGTCATCCAAATCATCTGGGTCAAGGCGATTCTTTATTTTACCCATAAAATTTGATATGTTAGTTACTCCTGTTGTAAAAGATTTCTTCATTGTAGTTGGGGTAAGTTTGCTGCCTGACCTTGACCTCTGACCTGATGATATTGACGATGTTCCCAGGGAGGAGATCCCGGAGTCACTAGCTGTGTACTGGATATTATGGCTGGAGACATGTAAACTTGGTATCTCTGACTGAGTGATATCTTCACTGGAGTGAGAGTCTAACCTCACACCTGCAAAATAAATATCCCCAAACATTGCTTAACAAAAACTTAAACCATTTATTTTAATATCTGAAAGACATTCTATTTTGAATCTTAACTATAAAGAAACTTGATAAATATCTTACGACTAAAATTTTTTTGTTACAGTTTATATAAATATTAATATTATTTGATGGGTTATATGACATTAAGTTAACAGTAACAAGGTTATATTAACATAAATTACTAGACAAGGGTTTTATACAAAAGTCACATCTTTATAACAGATTGATAACAGAAAATATCCTTTCTTTAATTAAAATAGAATTTATTCATAAATAATAAGCTGCCATCTTAAATGATGATGTACATGTAAGTCCTGATTGTCCAATAAAAATAAACTTTACAGACTGATGGATGAATGGAAAATGCAATTTGAGTATCCTCTAATTTACTGTTTTATGAACTTTGGATGATGAAATTTTTTCATTAAATAATAATAACCTATTCATATCAGACCATCCATGTATAATTCTGGTATCCATGGCAACATTATCCAACTCAACATTTATCACATTAGATATAAAATATCTGACTTAAGTTAAGTAAATCCCTCAACAAGTACTATATATTTACCTTGATTTAAATGAAGCTCATCTGTGTTCTGTGTGTATCGTACAATGGTAGAGTCACTCTGTGAATGTGATAGGTGGCCTTCTACAAGCAGATTTTCTGACATCTCTATACAAGTGCCTGCAAGTGAAATGATGTAATATTAGTAACAGATCAAAGTTTAAACCTTCTGAAAGCTAGCTGGATGCTTCCTTACAGCGACAGGATTCAAACCCATAGCGGTGAGTGGCAAGGGAAGTTGATGAATTATACCACTTAGCTATGGAAGTCCCGAGAACAACATAGTTTGTTAAATGATAAATTTATCATATAGAAATCAATGTCCAATTTGCTAAATTTTTATCAAAATTTGAAAATAGAAATCTTCCACTGAAGATATTAGTTACAGAAATAAGTTAAGTTACCTCCATTAGTTTCTGTGACTGTCAGCGTCTGGTCTGCTTGTTCTATGTCTTCCATGCCACTTGTTCCATCTGTAACCCCAACAATATCACTGTCTGTATCAACATCTACTTCCCTTTCTTCCATACTCTCTGAATTTGGAGAACACAAAATGTCTGGATTACTCAAGGGGAGTAACTCAGCAATGTAAGGACAAACCATTGCAAATTCTAACTCGGGTATACATAATGGAATGGCAAATGTCTTTGCAGGTGTATCACTTCCTTTGAAGAAATCTTCAACATCAGCATTCAGCTGTAGTTGAAAATTTGAAAATGACTCAATAACTCTCATTAGAAATAAATATTGGGGATTGTTCAGCTGAGCTCTGATTTTCCCGCCTATTTTAGCTGCAAGATTAAAGTCTGCGACTTTGAAAGCCGAATATTGCACACTGCCATCGTCAATATCACAGTTATTGGAATCTTTGAGATTGTTGTCTTGGGTACTGCTGTCTTTTGAATCCAGAGAATTATCATCATTATCCTCGGAGTAATATTGTTTAAGAAGCTGTCTTGTTTTCCGTCTGCCTTTCTCACCATTCTCCGTACAGTCACCATTCACTGTTGCACTACAGTTATCAGGCAATATAATGTCATCTGGAATTGCTGTTGGATGGCACACCCACAATGTCAATGGAAAAGATTCTACAAATGGCACAGGACGAGTACGACTAGTCGGCACTCCAAGGAATTCTAACCAGACCTGATCTATACTAAATACCCACATATCACAACGCATGTCTCGTTTTAGAGTGTCAGTTCTCAGTAACGTTTTAACTGCATCAGTCCCAAGATCCTTCTCACTGAATCCGTTTGGCAATTTTCCTTGTAGAAGTTCTAAAATATAGCCACAGAGGTATGGATTTACACGAGAATCTGCGAAAGCCTGGAAGATCTTTGGAATGGAAGTTAAATTACCAGAGTCATTTGGAAAATCCGTACAGGTAAACATATCACAGTTTTTATACTGACTTAATAAACCTTGAAGGTCTTCGAAAGTAAATTGGTTTTCAATATGCGTGTTTGACGCTGTAATCTTCGAGAATTGTATCTGTAATGAATCGGGACGGTCAGGTTGTTTTTCTACTTTCTCCTCGGCAGAAACAACTACCTATAAAATATGAAACAGTACAAGTTAATCTTTTTTCAATCCGTTTTACTTCATATATCTTAACCTCATTAAAAGAGGGTGATAAAACACTGAATGGACATGATATACATGTATAATAGTTTCTCATATTTTTTGTTATTTCAGATATAATTTCAAAATAGAATTCTATAAAATTACATTATATGAGGACCGAATAAAAGAAACACAATAATAAGTATCTGGTCACCCTTTTCATAGGGATAAAATAATTAAATGTGCATTTGTTTGTTACATAACTTACTAACACAAGCTAATATTTCTAGTTTTTGATGGGTTTTACCTATATATTTTTATAGCTGTTTTCATGTCATATTTCCTTTTTGAAAATAGTAATCTCTTTTCAAATACTTGGACAAATATTCCCAATTGAAACAGATCTATCAAAGTTTTTTTGTAAAAATTGTAAACTGTTTTCATCTTCTAATAAACAAAATGTTTTGATAACTGGAGCTATTCTACACTTAAATTCCCAATTTTGAGCAAAACTCTGATAAAACTTCCCAATCCTAATGACACAATTTTAATTCCTACACATCTGAAGTACAAAAACAATCCCCTGATTACATAACTATAGAATAATAAATCAAATCATAAATGATATTTTGAACATAAATGATGACATTATTTGTACTTACCCTGGGCATCAGGGCCTCTACCTTGATATCTACATGCTCCAACTTCTTCTGTATCTCATTCTCTGGTGTCTCCTATAATACATTCAGGTATTCACATTTACAAACTTTAATAAAGGAGACCCAAAATGTTTACTATTTTATAATGACCCATTTATATGTATCTATTTACTTCCTTTGTTCTTATTCCTTCCTGTTAAAAACAGAACAGTAATAAATGTGTGTAAAATTCATCAAATAGTAGATTTATTGTTGGAATATTAATTTGTAATCAATCAGTTATTCTCAGAGCAAAACTGGATGTATACATGTATATGTATACCCTTTATATCTGTAATTTATCATGCAGGTAGACATTGGCGGCTGCAATTCTGATGTATTAACCCTTAAAGGCAACTCCTCAACCACAAGCAGGATTTTTCATGTAACTTATTGCTATTTTATACATGTAAGAACAAATATAATAAAATTATATAAATAAAGAACATACTAGAACTTGAGCAAGGTTGAGAGAGAAGTAGTTGGACCAGAGCATGGTCAGATAGTCTAAATGTAGTCTCACTGGGTTGACCAATACATACATGTTGGCATGTGGTACTGAAAAATAATCAATATATATTGCATCTGTATGATAATGAAACAAGAATGTCAATATGGGCCATGCATCACTCACCTTAGTGAAGATTGTCATTGCAAATAGTGCTTAAATCACAGATTGGTTCTGAGAAATAGTTTTTGAAAATATAAAATTTTACTATTTATTTACCTATGACCGAGATATTTTTTTTTAAAAATGAAATTCCTCTATCTTTTTTGAAGAGTGGAAATTGAAAATAATTTAATTGAAAATAATTTATTTCAGCTTAACTTGTGAAGGTAGACCTTAGATGCACCTTTGTACATTAATGCGCACATAAGAAGTAGAACCACAGACTTTTTATATATATTTTGACATAAAAGAGTTTTAAAGTCCCTGGCGTGATTTTTTACCTGGATAGTCGATTCCATCAGTGAAAAAATAGTCTGTATATTCTACATGTATTACTGACATATCCGAGGGTAAATGTAGAGCCTTCTTGTCGGAACTAAAAAACTTCTGTGGCATATTCCTCTTATTGTCTGCAGTAGAAACCCTGTATATAATAAACTCTTCTATCTTCATAACCATACAACTTTCTAGTAATTTAGTGACCTTCGGACCACCTTGACCTTGGTTTTTGACCCCTTGTGGATTTTGTGTCTGTGGAGGTGATTTGGCGGGTGATTTCTGATTTGCCGTCTGGTGAGCGGGTGATTGTGTAGGGGAGAGAACTTTGCACACTTCTCTGGCTCTAGAAGCTTCCGCACGGAATGCTTTAAATAGATCCTGTACCCATGTGTTCCGAGATCCCTGATTGTCTGTGTAACGGTACCAACTCTTTCTTTCTCCACCTACGTTTAAAAGTGAAAAATGTGTAAACACTAATTCGTACGAGAAAACAAGATCTCTGGAAATAAAAGTATCTCATTTGTAAATAAAGAATTACTATAGATTTTTTTTTTATCATAGAATATTAGTCACATGCTTTGTTCCTGCAAACAACTGATTAAATCTGGCACTTAGGAACTTAATAAATAAATGATTTAATCAATACATAAAATGAAACCCACACAAAAACTGAAAGGTGGCTACAAGTACAACTTCAACTTACAGTTAAGTAATTTATAATTCATATGTCATTTTGACTTTTGACATTGCCATATCAATATGAACTATTTTGTAGCTTTATAACTATAAAATCATATAAAAACTACTCAGGTACAAATTTAGTTGAGTATGCAAAGTAAAATTTGTGTTATAAACTTGGACATGTTATAATAAATAGCTATAATTAATATGCATAAACATGTGTATAGTAAAAACTGGAAATAAAAACACTATCTAGCCTGAACATAACTGAAGCATGAAAACCTGATGTCAGATCGTGACCATACAGCATAACCAGAAATAAATAGTATTATATAATAGATAATTAATTTTGTTCAATTATCATAATATTCCTTACAGAATATACATGTCATGCATATAGTTGTAATCCCAAGAGTCTGAAAAGAGTTAGCAGACAAGACTGTAACCCTTGACCCATTAAACATCATAAATGGACTTGTCTGTCATTTTATCTGGCATAAACCATTTTCAATATTTAGGGACAATTTGGAAATATGTACTGACTGAATAGGGAACATTGCAGACCATGACCAGATAGCATAGATGTTTAATCTCATCTTGGTCTGCACTGGTGGAATAACCAGCAGACTAAAAATTAAACAGAACAGTTCTTCAATTTGTATCTAAATAAGGGTCCATATGTTTTAAAGGACACAGTGTGTACAGACCATCAATATGTCACCGGGCATGCCTGTACACAATCAATTACTGAAAAAAGACTGAAAATTCTTTTTAATTTTAGATAACACCATTTCAGATTAAAACCATATTGTGAGAAAAGTACTTGTTTATGGGTACACAATTATAACATTACTCTTTTTTTTTCTTTTGAAAGATGGACCAAGAAGACCCTCAACACTCACAGACAGTAAATCAGCTATTTATGTGGTAAAGATTAGGTTCCTCTCTAATAATGAGTGCATATTGTGACACTGTAATCAATACTCTCAAACAAAATTTATAAATGCAATAACAACTCTGTCAAAGCAGCACATGCAAACTCAAAAATATGCTTCACATTAACCATGAACCTGCTGGAACCTACAGTGACGCCATTATAGAGCCAGGTTATCCTGTACATCTGTGAAGTCTGACCAGGCACTATACTGTTGGCTGCTCATTGTGTGGGATTTTTTTATACAAATCCCTTTAAAATTAAATTTGGTTTCCAAAAATTCAAAACATGAAATCCACTCCAACAGTCAGCAAAATGCCCCCCAAAAGAAAACAATTTAACACAAACAACGAAAAAAACCAAAAACCCCAAAAAAAACAAAACAAACTAAAAAATTTGTTGATAAGTGAATAAAAAAATTTACTAAAAACAAATTTTAACATATAAATTAAATAATTTACTTCATCATTCAAGTGTACCTTTATTATATATTAAAATATTTCAGCTTATATTTTATGGGTAAATTAACTCTTGTAACACTTCCATTACACTTGTAATCTTATGTTTTATACAGTGATGACATTGAGCAACAGGAAAAACATCTTTTTTTTAATCTTCATTGAGAAACTGGAAAAACTAGGTATCTTCAATTAGGTTAATTATTCTTCATTTATGTTAAGAGACCAACTTCATGATATTATGCTGGCCAAAACTGATTTAATGAAAGTCCTTAAAATGTATTAACAACAGCTATACTATACTAATCTCAATACTTGAAAACAGCCACAGGAATATGCAATAATTATCAATGTTAACAAATTCAATTAAAAATTCTAATGAAGTCTCATGAATCTTGGAAAGTTACCTTCAAATACAACAGACAAGTGTGAAGTTTCAAGATTATATCTTCAGTGAAAAGTTACACACAAAACCTTAACCAGTGTTATTCTTACATTAAGGCCAGGGTGATTAGTAAAGCCCCACTTTTCTTTAAACAGTTTCAGTTTTCACAAATAATTTAGATTAACAACTTTAATACAATTATGGCAAAATGTTGAGTTATTTCTATTTTCAACTGTTCAGCTGATCATTTACACTTGGATGAGCATAATTAATAAAATTCTGTAGAAATGAAATGAAATTAATTTTTTGTCACTCTGTTATTAAGTTAAGCTTTCTATATTAAACTAAGTTATACAAAATTGTATCAGTAAATACAGTGCAAAATAAGAAGCATAGATAAAATGTATTGTATGTAACTTAAAATTTGTCTCAAAATTGTTTTGACACCAATATGCAAGACTTTGGCTTCTTGTCCTATTTAGATGTTGTAAATAGTTGACTTAATTTTATACCAAGCAAGCAAGTATGCCTGCATACTATGAAAATAGATGATATAAAAAGCCATTGTGACCTTCACCTTGATATTTTATTTTACTTAATTTTCCAGGACCACACAATCATATTTAAACAGTTATTATTATCATTATAAATAGGACCATGTGATAATTTAACTCAATTACACATTTTCATACTTATTATAAATTTGTGAACAAAACTTTACCCATACAATATAACCCATATGGTCCAAAAATATGGTCAGGCAACATTACCAATTGAGGAATATTAAGTTATTCCTGTAAACCAGGGGGTATTATATTAAAACACAATGTTATTCACAAGAATATATGTCCAGAAAGTGAAGACCTGAACCAGAAAGAGCAGCCAAATTTACCAAATTAGCAAGTACATGCTAGAAATAATCATGTAGTAAAAATACAGCTTCAAGTAGTGTATTTTCTAAAGACTAGTATATTATTGGGATCATAATATCATATTTATTGGACTTATGTAAATTGTGTAGGTTAGTAGTTAACCAAGTGGTAAGTCAAACAAAAAGTTGTTCCAGGGCAGTTCCAAATACAAACAATTCTTCAGTACTAGAACTTTATTTATGGGGAAAGAGGGAGGGGAATTGATTTAATGTCATATTGACACTGCGAATGCCATATGGCTATCTTTCAGTTTCAATAATGGAAGAAGTCTGCCACGACCCTTTGAGTATTATTTCATACTTAAGCAAATATATGTGTAGAACCAAAACTTTTAGTTATGTCACGCGTAAGCTTCCTCACATGAAAGAATTACAAAGTCCATGGAAGGATTTGAACCCACAGCACTGAGTGGCAAGTGATTAAAAGTCAGGAACCTTAACCACTATGCCAAAGAGTCTGTCTCAATTCCCTGAACTATCTATTTGTCTATACTGTTTTATGTTTGCTGTCCAAAAAAAGCTTAGAACCATTTTGAGTTTGACCATTCGGCCATTGTAGCCCTTGTATTAAGATTTTAATAAATGTTTCATTTCTTTCATGAAATATAAACCATTAACATTGCTGGACATCAAATTCTAGAGGAAAAACATAAAAATACATGCATGAGAACTAAAATCAGACTATTTAACATGAAAAGCTTTCATAAATTCATCAGTTTTGATACCAGTTAAATAAAAAAAACTTGCATCCCCCAAATCTCCCTTTGCAAACGTGAACATAAATCCAGGCTATCTTATGGACAACATTGACACGATATTCCTAGGTGTAGTTACATTATGTATCATTTATAATCACTCCTTACACACTGAAACTTACCACTGGTCAATATCAAATCCATATCTAGTGAAATTAGAAAAACCAAACATAATATACTCATTTCTATATAACTCGTGCATTGAAAACAATATCACAAAGGCAATACAAATTTTGTTAACAAAATCTCTCCAGGTATTTCCAGAACTGTGTTGAGTATTCATCAAGGTTTGGCATTCTTTACGATTTTGACATTAAGCTATGTATAATGAAAGAGGGCAGAATACATAAATAGGGCAGAATACATAATTGTGTATTTGGAAGTGTACTTTAATTTGTTCGATAGAAATCTAAATTACAAAATTATGACTTAAAATTATCTAAAAAATATTGATCACAATTAAAACCCCTGTCACACTAGGGCAGCGTTCTCACGGCATCCAAGGAAAATTCAGAATGCCGAGGTGAGCTCAGTAAGATTGCAAACATTGTTGCAGCATCATAGTGGCATCGCACAATACACTGACTGACTGTGCATATTGTGAGCATGCTCAAAATGAAAGCAGTCACTTGGCGTTCTGATAAGAGCGCAGTGGGATTGCAGTAAGGAAGCTGTAGCAACTCAGTAGAATCGTCTACAATGCAACATTGTGAAAGCACAGATGATCGCCCAATAAACATCGTGCTTATCCATGGCTCTTGTATAGAGACAGTGCAGCGTCTCTACCATGCATTATACTACATGGTGTTTTACGGAGCTTTACAATTCCAGAGCAGTGCGAGTGCAGTAAAAGTGCAGTGAAAGTGCAAAGAACGCGGTAGAAGCACAGTATGAACGCAGAAAATCAACAAATAAAACGCTGTGGAAGCTCTGAAGCATCACTATGATCGCCATGAGGATGCCTTAAAGTGTCCATTCATCAAAAATATCACATTATTATTGCGATCTCGCGGCCCTTTGTTTAATTTAATAACGCCATGCAAATGCAGTGAAAGTGCAGTCTAGTGTGACAGGGCCTTAAATAAAATAATTTAACTTGATAACATTTTAATACTTTTCTACAATTCTACAATGATACATTCACTGTCATTCTTAAGTAGCTTCACCTGAATGAAGTCTGCAAATACTTTTATATCATGCACAGGCAAGCTTAGCTCCATGAAATAAAATAGAGCAATAAATTAAAACTCTTTGACGAAAAGTTATCTTTTTTCAGCAAACCAAGTGATATATTTGGCTTGATCTCAGAGCAATATTTTAAAAATTTGGTGGTGAGCCACATAGTAACATGTATATCTTATTTATTTCAAAATATAACAACTTTTTTGTAGTTTTTATTAGGAATTCTTAATTTATGTATAGTAAGTCTATATAAAGTTCAATGGCCTCTTTGGCAAGGCCAATTTGACCAATGGGAAATAATTTGGACAAACTTTTCAGAGGTCAACTGTAGCTGGCTAATGGAATTTTCTTAGGGTTATATATATGAGAAGTCTTTGTAAAGATCATAAAAGTTGTTACAAATGCCAATAACATAAGTTTAAATCCTTCATGTTTTATTGTTGTCGTTTTTTTTGTGAAAAAAAAACAAAACTTTTCCTTTATAAGCATTTTTAAAAACAAATGGCCCCAGGCCTGAGACAATTTTTTACCCCATATTCATAATTTGAACAATCTTGGTAAAGGACTACATGTATTTTAGCTCATGTAAGCTCTCATCATTATAATTTAATTTCATAGGGAAACAAATTTCCATATAAGCCTTTGTAAAAATAAAGTGACCTTATCAGAGAACTCTGACAATTTTGATCCCATGGTCATTACAGATGTTATCCAGAACTTTGCAAATATGGGTTTTTCCTATCTTATTCAGGGGTACAAACAAATTTTTTCCGTGCACTACTGTTCACAATAATTTGATCACAAGTTACTTTTACACTTAATTTGAAACTGTAAAAGTTGGTTTGTACCCCTGGGATAAGATAGGGAAATAATCAGTGACTTAAACTGTTATACTACCGGTATATGCCATATGTTTAAGCTCTAAAAAAAAGCTCTAGACATTTGGAAACATAGATATACCAAGGTATAATGACTGACAGTGATTAATCCTGTAAGCTCTTTCTAGCACTTAGTGCTAGTTAAACTCATAAAACAAACTTGAGGTGAATATAAATTCTCAATAAGCAAATAAAGGTGCACTTTTGCAACAAAAGACAATAAAATGTGCACCGGCATTCCTTTCCAATGCTTTCCATTCAATGCTTGATTCTTAATAAAAGGAAAATGTATTATATACTACTCAAGCATGCCTTTATTTATAAAACTCAAGAACATGTTCTGTATGAAAAAATCAGAAAAACTTTAATATACTGCAAGTTGAATGCATTGTTTAGAAATCAGTATTATAGTTGACCATGTTTAAAGTTTGGTTGCAAACCTCAAAATACAGCAGAGTTGCAATACATACTGCCATATCATATAATTGAAGTTTAAAATTGTCACCTTGATTAAAATGTCACAAACAAAATGTAAATAATATCTTTTCCTTCCATGAAATTGCAAATTTTCTAGAATCTATTATATTTATAACACTGGTTATTTCTCTGTAAAAGCATCATGCTGAAGTTGTATCACATGAAAACAGAAACTTTTAACAAGCTAGGCCTACTGGATCTCCTAGATATTGTTTTAGTTGAAATGGTATTGGCCTAGCTGAAATAACATGGGATTGATCGGAACAGTACTGGTTTGGTTGATATCATATTGCAGGTTCTGTACCAATTTGTGAGAAACAATAAGGAGAAAACTGTGAATAAATTCTACATAAAACTAGAGAAAAACACTAGGAAAAAAAGATGTTTTATTACAAAATTAGGTGATATAACATATTGTAAGTTAGATGATAATGCATCATAAAAAATTATTATCATTAATGTTTACCAGTTCCCAATATGTTTGAATAAAGCAATAAAAATCAGTTATCCAAAAAATGTTTACCTACTTATAAGAAGGTTCTTAACAATAATATAAAATTTATCCAGTTTTCATTCCATTTCATTACTTGGAGCATTTAAGAACAAGAACTGACGAAGGACAGGGACGCTCGACTTTTTTGAAAAAGTTGTCACAAGGGTGCTTCATTGAGTTTAATAATGCTTACCTATATGAATACATAAAGTTGTCCAAAAAGGTACAAAGGCTTGTTATTAGAAATAAAATCACTGCTTTATTATAATGAATTTATAAAATTGTCCCCAAAAAAGGCATAAACCCTTCAGTAGTTATGAAGATACCAGCTTACAATCAAAAACTTTATCGAGAATTTCTAAGTTGAAAAAGGGGCATAAATATGCAAAAAAGCAAATCAGAGTTATGGGACTTGTGCCAATCATGTAAGATAATCACAGAGAACAAGTGTGTGAAGTTTTGATCCATTCCCTTCAGTAGTTATGGAGATACCAGTTTATACAAAAAACTTTACCAAAAATTTCTAAGTTGAAAAAGGGGCATAATTATGCAAAAAAGCAAATCAGAGTTATGGGACTTATGCCAATCATGTAAGATAATCACAGAAAACAAGTGTGTGAAGTTGCAATCCATTCCCTTCAGTAGTTATGGAGATACCAGTTTACATGCAAAACTTAACCAAGAATTTCTAAGTCGAAAAAGGGGCATAATTATGCAAAGAAACAAATCAGAGTTATGGGACTTGTGCCAATCATGTTAGATAATCACAGAGAACAAGTGTATGAAGTTTCAATTCATTCCCTTCAGTAGTTATGGAGATACTTGCTTACACGCAAAAACTTAACCAAAGGAACATCAAAGCTGACAAATGTGTGACTGCATTAGCAAAAACTACATGTAGGAATGATGAATAAAATGTATACTGGTTCAGTTGAAAATATATTGGTTTAGTTAAATCTGTATAAGTTAAGTTATAACTATACTATATTGGTTTTGGTTAAAATATACTGGTTTTGGTTATGGTAATACTATATTGGTTTAGGTTAACTTATATCATTTTTGTTGAAATGGTTTTCTTTTTGGTTGAATTATATTGGTTTTGTTGAAAAATATATTGGTTTTGGTACATTGTAGAATTAGGTTGTTACATTGAATAAACAACCAACCTTCAATTGTAGGCGATACTTATTCACTGAATAAATTATGACTGTGTACAAAAAGATAAACTGTTCACCTGAATTATGAAATTGTGAAATTAAAACAACATTGAATATTGTAAAAAAAAAGGTCATATATTTACCTGCGTAATGAAATGGATAATAATCTAGGGACAGTTTGTAGATAGTAATCTGCATTGCACCTCCATTAATCTTCTTGTTATGTTTCGGACTTGAGTCTGTCGTAACAAAACAATTATCGTTACCCTATGTCCTTAACATAGTTTAGTACAGGCAGAAATCTAATAATTTGTAATTTCTAAATTGGTTGGACCAAACTCATTCCCAAAGGTTTTAAAATTTACAATCATCACAATGATCAATGACAAACATAAATAAAAATATAATTAAATTACCAAGTCACTGTTTGGTCATTTACCTCATTTCCTTTGTTATTTATCAACTGATGAAGCTAATAAAGATTGATATTTAAAAAAAACATGTATTGATATTTAAAATTGTGTTGTTTTTCAATTTGCAAGATTATAAAATAATAACATTTTACTGTAGTCTAAATGTATGTGACTCTGGACGTGACACAGTTACCTTTCTCCATGGGCGTGTCATCACATAGATGTAGATCTACTCTACTGGTGATCAGATGATACGACGTTGTCTGAACATCGTATTTCTGGAAATATTTCGCCTCATTGGTCTGACTACGAGGTCTAGATTGTAGCTGTTGCTGCATGTATAGCTGATCAGCTCCACTTTTTACTTGTTTCTGTAGACACAATAGATATGTTTAGTTTAAACATATTTTCTTAAGGTTGATAATGTAACAAAATTTTGCATTTTGCAACTTATACTACTCATTTTCATGTCTTTGAACTAACCAATACTAGTATGATATGCATGTGATTTGATTAAAATTAAACCGAGGATCCATGGGTTGAGTGACAGACACTTAAAACATTGCACTCATTAAACTAATGGAGGTGAGAAAAATAAAAAATTATGGGAAACACATATTTTATTATCTACAGAGAATGTTTGTTAAGCATATGTACTAGAGGAGGTGGTCAATACTTTAAATCGAAGGCTTAATCAGGACATTATACATATTGTGTATTTATTTTCAACAGTTTCTCACACATGTTATAGCTTCAAATATTTTTCGTTAAAAAAAACCCCAAACCACCTCAATTTCATAATAACAAATATGACAATCATTAATACCTGAAGTTTTTCAGCAGCTAGCTGTTTACTTTGTTGAGAGGATTTTTCTATCATGGTAGACAAGGAGTTAACATATACCATGGCAGACTTCAACTGTGTATCTGTTAGTACCCACAGAAGATCATCCAATAGAAATATGATCCTTGTAGCTATAACACTACAATCTGAAATAGTCATAATATAATAATTCAATCTAAAATAGTCATCATAAAACAATCTGAAATAGTCATAATATAATAGTTCAATCTGAAATAGTCATAATATAATAGTTCAATCTGAAATAGTCATAATATAATAGTTCAATCTGAAATAGTCATAATATAATAGTTCAAACTGAAATAGTCATAATATAATAGTTCAAACTGAAATAGTAATAATATAATAGTTCAATCTGAAATAGTCATAATATAATAGTTCAATCTGAAATAGTCATAATATAATAGTTCAAACTGAAATAGTCATAATATAATAGTTCAATCTGAAATAGTCATAATATAATAGTTCAATCTGAAATAGTCATAATATAATTATTCAATCTGAAATAGTCATAATATAATAGTTCAATCAGAAATAGTCATAATATAATAATTCAATCTGAAATAGTCATTATATAATAATTCAATCTGAAATAGTCATAATATAATAATTCAATCTAAAATAGTCATCATAAAACAATCTGAAATAATCATAATTTAACAATCTGAAATAGTCATAATTTAACAATCTGAAATAGACATTTTATAACAATCTAAAATAGTCATAATATTAATCTGAAAAAGTCGTTTTATAACAATCTGAAATAATCTGCTGAATTTAACACACTTTTGCTCATATCTCGGCAGTCAATGCTTTCCTGGATAACTGACCAGTAATTACCAAAATTTCCGCAATCCTACATGATTTCTAAAACCGGGATAAAAGACAAATGACCATTAAACTCAATGTTGAGATCAAGAAAAATGAAAATTCTTCTCACCCTAGGATCAATCATGCAATCCATGCATTACAAATCTTATGCTCTCCCTATGGAGCTAAGTGTGCATGTGAATTCCAAAAGTATAAATACATTAGTAAACTTATAGAAATTTAGCTACCCACCACTTAGCTTTTTCTTCATAACGATTCTGACTTTAGACTGGTTTGCAATAAGACGTAGTGGAGTAGTTGGCAAACTTGTGTCTCCTTCATGAGCATTAGCCTCTATACGAGTAGTGGACCAGTCTACTTCCTGTAATATACATGTACATAGTCCCTTATTTAAATACTTTATATCATTACATCATAACTAATGTATTTATTGTATTGGGTTATACATCACAATGGCACTGTAAAAGCACTGTAAAGGGGAGAAAGACCTTAGATGCTCCTTTGTACATTATTTCAGGTCATGTGAGCATGAGCAGGCCTATCTGTAAGCTAGATGGGTAGTTAGTTACCTTACATGAAGTTACCAAAAGTCCCTGACAGGGTCCAAATCCACAGCTGTGAGAGGCAACTGATTTGAAGCCTGCAACCTTAACTACTCTGTCAACACAGACCACAATGGGCAAATTATATAAACAATAAAAATCTCATAAGATTCTACATAGAAACAGTTCCACTCAAATCAGAAATTACTGTTGTAGAATATTTGAAATACTTGCAGTTGGCTCATAAGCTCAATGTTTTAAAGCATTGTACAGTCAGATGATAAAGAAGATAAAGTGTGAACACTAATTTAATATCTGAATGTGGACACAAACACTTGGATGGATATTGGGTAAGACAGAACTTCATTCACTTTGTGCAGTCCTACTAACACAACAAAATTTAATTCTGTCTCCAATTATAACTAATTATTGATATTTTTTTTTCAGATATTAGATATGAATACAGATTATTTTTGCAATAATTATAAACCTTGAACAGAATAATTTCATCAGTGGGTTCACTACGTATTCGAGACTGTCGCATGTCTGTTGGTAATGTCCAGCATGGTGTCATACTCTGTACCTTCACTCTTGAAAGCTGTCAAAATATAAATATATTCTTCATGTTCTATAGTTTCAATTGTTTGTTTTTTATCAGGTTTTTATGCTGATTTTAACACATTTTTGGTCATATATTGCCAGTCAGTCCAGACCTGACTGGCTTTTTGGATCACAAAGCTGATGCAACCACTATTGAGCTAAGCCAGCGGACTTGACTATAGCTTTAATCCATTTTATATAAAATATCATATTCTGACACAAGTGGTGCTAAAAACTAAAACATTGGAAGATAGGCAGACACCATTGCCATAAGGCCATCCCTCTTTTACATACATGAATACATTATTTTTTAGGATCTTTATATAACTATGTACAATATGACCAGTTAAAATTCACAAATAAGGACCAATAAACTTTTAACAAAATTTGTAAAGACAAATTTGCATAGTGTTTTTCACATGTAGTACAAACCCATGTACCATTAGACTCAATAAAAATATATATATTATTTTTTTTATCACAGGGCTCGAGCTAGTGGGCGATTCGGGCGAAATAGTCGCCGAATTCCGTCTGACTTCGCCGACATCCTACATGAAAGCGAAGATGAAGTCGCCCGATTTTATTGATCCATTATTGAAAATTACCAACAATAACTGTGAGTAACATGTTGTGTGTGTTTACCCTCGCCGCCGGAAAAAGGGACTGTCATGCATCTTAATCAACGTGAAATGTCATTAATCCGTTTGTTTACCAACATGTCATAAAAGTCTAATTAACAGACACTCGAGGAACAATTAGACTCCGCCCACGGCGAGATTACCGATACATGCGAGAAACCAATCGTAATTCACGTTTTAATCGAGGCGACATTATTAAACCAATCATTAAATCGCTAACATACAACTACCCGTAACAATTATTTATGATGGACGGATCAAACGTCAATTAAATTTTCACTATCGAATGATTGTCAGAATTAAGAGGACCGCTAGACATATAACTGTAACGGTAATTTTAAATGAAAGTTATGATAACCTTTTTTGTCGACGAGTTAAATTTGATAAAATTGACGGCGTATTAAACTGTATTTATTACAAATGAAGTTTAATTAAAGATCGTTTCTTTCGTTCTCTACTTTCATTTTCTTTACAACATAAGTGAATATGAATATAATGTCCGGCGCAAGCTTTTTAATAGTAAATCAGAAGGGAATAACTGTTAATCCACCCATGATATGATCCATGATAGGAATCAACTATGGCTTTTTTATCTTCATTTAATGCAATGGTTGCATTACATTATACTCATTCTTATTACTTGTTTCGAACTACTTTTAAATTAAAATTGAATATTCTGTTGTAACACAAATCCAATTCATTTAATAAGATATGTACAGTGAGTCAACATAATTGCGATACAACAAACATCGATGAATGAATCTCCTCACTTCTCCCTAAAGTCTCCCCACTTCTCCCTAAAGCAGCTGGAGGGAGAAGTGACTTCTCCCTAAATTTTGAACCTAGCTTGAGCCCTGTATCATATGCTTGTTATATGTAAATAAGCCCACTCATTCCTACACTGTCTAGGCACACATACATGTACAGTATTAAATGCGAATGTAAAATGTTGAATATCAAATGTGAATTCCATGAAATGTGGTTACTAGAATCTCCTTACTTAAGAGTTCACTCCATTAGCTGGAGCATTACCATTTTAATTAACTAACAATGTTTAATCACTTTATAACAATCGCTTAATATCGCTCGTCATGTAAATATCTCAAAATTTCTAAAATCCACAGTTACTAACTATGTTACCATTAAGCCAACAAGATAGACCTTTAGGGGAGGATCCTAGATAATGTCGGTACATGTATATAACTTTCGGTCCAACCCTTTTGTATGAACATTGTATTTATGCTTAAGATAATGATGTTAGATTGTGTAAATTTATAATGTACAACATATACTATAAAATATGATTAAATTAAAAATTAAATTAAAAGAAATTAAATTAAATTAAATTATATTATAACAATCAATCCTACAGTCACAAACATAAATATAACTTCCACTTTACCTGAAGACTTGCATGGAACTTGTCCGATGAAAATTGAACAGACACAGAATTAATGTGAACATATATACCATCCATTACTTTGTCTACAAATCCATATCTACCTTCAGATCTGAAATAAAGGAGTTATACTCAATTAACTACAATGTATGTACTTTTAATGCCCTTCAACTTGATTTAACCCTTAATCTGCTGACTTGCTTAAATTAACTTGTCCTGCACATCATCTTGTTCAGGTGGACATTTAAGTCAAGTTTGAAAAGAATCCTTTAAGGGGTAAGAGTGGACACAAAAATATGAGACAAACTAACCAAAAGGACGGAACAATGCTAGTATTTCAAGCAAATTTATGTGGTAAGGTTAAAAAAGATACTCAGTTAAAAGTGTAAAACTTGTATTTTACTGTTATATATAGTACTATATCACTGTTTTATACAGTATTATATAAGATATTACAGTTACGGATGTATACCTTGTATTTGACTGTTGTCCTGGCTTGTTAGGAGGGCGCGGCTCAGAACAGGTCTCTACCTCCAGTACAACCTCGTCTAAAAACTGTAACAAACTTTCAAGTCTGTCATTTAAGTTAGAACAGTATTTCTAATACATTAAAAGTATGAGTTTTATAATGGTTTACATGTATTATCTTCCTGCTGTCAAATATTGACATTCCACTAAAGTGTGGCAAATCTCCAATCATGTGTGCAGTTAAAACACACTGTCTCATCATGTTAAACATTTTGTTCTAAGTCAAAAATTATGTATTTGCTCCTGAAAAATATTTACCCAGTGATAAACAAACCATCAGCCAACTACCCAAAATAATATACATGTAATACATAAATACCCGACAACATTGTGATCACAATGTCAAGCAGATATACCAGTAAACCAGATGAAAAATATTGTAAACAACTCATAAAAATAAGATGAGGACACTTAGTATTTCATCCTACAATAAACAAAATAGAGCTGCTTAAAATTGCTTCTTGATGAAGATTATTTATCTATTATTCAAACACTCAAAGGTCCATATAAAGAATAATACTGTTACAAATTTGGTGGACATGCTAAAAGTAACTATGTGAATTTATCAGAATCCAGATAATCCTACCAGCTTGTCTTAGAAAATTCCACATCTTAGGTCATATTGTTGTCATATATAAGAGACAAACCAGAGAGATTCCTTAGGCCAAATACATACTTATATTTCAACTAACTATCATTTATGTAATCAATAAATACATACCAGACAGATAGGCTGGGACTTCAACTTTGTCCACTGTACCTATAAATAGAAATTATTTCTTAAAAATTTTTTTTCCTATGATAAAGATTCTACAATTACTTGTTACCAAGGTAATAGGCAATCTTTAATTAACTTACATGCTGTTCAATTCATCACCTAAATGTGCTTAATTTGTCTCTACCTGTCAAAAGTAATATGCTTAAGTAAAACCTGGATTTTCAAGAGAATATTTTCCCAGTCATATTAATATTTAATGAAAACATGTAACCTGCAGATAATGATGTGGAAACTACACTACAATGTAGCAAAAGGTAGCAAATATTCCTGTATGTCATAACTTCTTTTGATCTCTAACGCACGGTTCTCCTGTGATTTGACCAGGTAACATTTTACAACAAGACTTGATCTAAAACTCATTCAAATTAGCTGGTATTCTGCTGAACGAAAACTGTGACAAACAATGCCAAGTATAATTTGTTAACTTAGTTCATATGCTACGATTGTTTGTCAGTTGATGTATATAAGTATTTATTCACTAAAAGAGACACTGAAATATTATTTTTCTTTAAAAACAGAGTGTATTATGTTTTATCCTGATACATGTTTATGACAAGTATATGAGCTGGGATTGACAAATATACAATTTATTTGAAATTTTAAGGCATTTGGAGCACCAAGTGACTTTATTCAATAACTTCACTATTTGTTATTAGCACATGTAATAATGATGTATATGTAAACTGTAAAACACATTAATTATGAAGTGAAATTAAATATATCTTTTCCTGTGTAACACTGAAAAATAGATTTGTTATGCAACTAACAAAGAGAAGTTTCCATCTTTCAAAGCTACTAAATTTATTTTCATTACATGTATGATGTAAGAAAAGGCCTTGATTGCATATGAATTCCAGGGTAATGCAAATATCCGTAAATATTGCAAAAATCAATTTCCCTTCACAGTATTTTGAGGGAAAAACATTTCTAATGCATGGTAGAAATTTTTATTAAAGATGAGAACTTTACCTTGCATGAGACTTTGTTACACACAGCTTTTGTCAGTTTCATCCATGTTGGAAGTTCCATCAATTCCATAAGCACATTTTCATTCAGTTCTAAGTTTGTCAATTCCCCTTCCCCCTTCAACGTACTGATGTTGATCTTATCAGGGGAAAGATTCTTAGTAAACCTGTCATATAAAAAAACATCGCTTTAGACAATAATTTCAACATTGTGAAAGTTTACGTAATAAAAAAGCATACATTAATATAAAATTGAATTTTTATTTTTCCATAATTTCTTTTAAATTTTACATTTAAATTATACAGTATACTTATTTACAAAAACTATTCTACTAAGAGCTGTCAGTAGGACAGAATGTTCGACTATTCTCAGTTTTTTTTTAGTGTTTTTTTTCTTGGGTTTTATGTTGCACCAACACAGTCATAATTATGGCAACTTTCCAGCTTCACTGGTGGAGGAAGATGACAAGTGCCCTACCGTGTATTTTTTCTGGCACCGAGTAGAACCATCAATGTTCCTGAAGCTACATGTAGCTGGATAGCTTCCTCACATGAAAGAATCCAAAGTCTCTGGCAGGATTCAAACCCAAAGCAGCCATGGAAAAGTTGTTTGATGTCAAAAACCTTTGAGCCACTTGGCCATAATCACCCTGCTGTGACTTTTCTCAGGACTTGGTAGCAAATCAAGAGACTGGATAATGTAGAACTTTCTTAGTTCAAAACAGGCCATATTCCTGTCAAAACCGTGTTAAAAATTTGGGCATTGGACAGTGACCTCCTATCATACTATGAAACAAAGACATTGAAGCTGGGGGCTGGGTGCGACTGGCAGTACAGGACAGGGCGCGACTGGCAGAACAGGGTGACCACGAGTCTTAACTGTTTTAAACTTCTAAAATTTCTTTAACTGTTAAATGCCACGTAATTCTTACTAATTCATTCAATGAACATTTTCATAAAATAGTTGAAAAAGCCCTGCAACTGATACTGATTCCTGAGAGACATGTGTATTGTACAGTTTTGTTACAAAACAGGTATAAGCTATCTGTTTGTGTAAATTAAATGTTATTCGAAGAGTAAAAACAAAATGTAATTTTCAATTCATATATAAATGTAGTTATTATGTTTAATTGTGGTTCGCGAACCCTGTCGTTTGCTGTGTTTGTTTGTTTTTTTTGTTTTTTTTTCTTTAAGTTTATTGTTGTTACTATAATACAAATCAAGTTTTAGTTTCTTTAACGTCTTTATTTGATCTTTGATCTCTTTATTATTATTGTGATTCACATGCATACATGTGAACTCTCCCACTTTTAGCGGGAGACTCCCACTTTCTGCAGCCATATTTTCAAAGATTTTTCTTAAAATAAGGGGTGTTTTCACAAATTAAAGAAATCTCCCTCTTTTTGATGTCAGAACTTTCTTCTTTGTTTATTGCAAATTATAAAATCTCCCTCTTTTTGAAGAATAATCGGTACTTGATCATCAAAAAAAGTTCACATGTATGCACATGTCATTTAACATGACCCTTGATTGGAAATAAAAGTTATTCTATTCTATTCCTGGAACAGATATGACGATGTAAATTTACTGTTATTTAAGTACTGTCACCATGACATGTATGATTGCACCCCTTTAGCCGTTTAGCCCTGGTTATAATTATTGAAGTTGTATTTTGGCAGATTACCACTAAGTCATTGATTTATATAAAACACTGACACTTACTTGGAAAGGTGCTTCAATATTTGGTTTTTTATTATTGACCCCATTCTCCTTTCTTACTTAACTGACAAAACAAATTTACAAACTAGTTTTATAGATCAACATTTTCGATATTCATTAATTCATGTCGCTTATATCATTATTAACATATCCTTAAAGAAAATTTATTTTGAATATACAATATATCCATATTTCTTAGAAAATATATTGGAAAATATCTTAATGTCACTAAACTGTAACTTGATAACAATTTTCTGCTCTAGTATGAATTAAATCAAAGAGTTTTTTTTTTTCGTTGGTGTAAGTAAAAACCGTACTTCCGGAAATGAGAGTTGACGTTCGCAACCTTAAATATTTTTACAATTTTTGAGGTAATGAGCCATTATTTACCGATAGAATTCATTTATGCATAAAAACACATATCTTATCTAATGAAGAACATGATAGAATAACAAATATGATTGTTATTCATATTGTCTCAGTAGTATGAAATAGCTCTGTGTTTCTCACTTTCTGTCCTATTTTTTTGCTGCATTTTACGTGTTTATTATGTTTGATTATAGGAAATTTAATTGTGATTATGGAATGAATATTGGATGTCAAGAAGAAAACCTTATAGAGATGATATCATAATATGTAAAAAGCAAAGCCTCAAAGTGAGCTCTATTAACTCTTGTTGTGAAATAGTATAAAATTTAATCGTTTATTTTACATTTTTCGTTTTAAAACTGTCATTCGATATTTTATACTAGGTGTGTGGATGGTCGGATAAGTGACTATACGATCAGATCCACGATTTAGCACTTACGATTCGCAAATCGAACCACGAATCTTTTGTTTTCAAGACACCCATAAAAACATGAACATTAGTTCTGAAAATATGAATTATGATAAACAAGATCAACAAGGTGGCGATCAATGAAAGCAACCTCCACATGACCCAGCAACATGTCGTTCTGAAAACATGTTTATTTTTTTTAAATAATACTAAACATTATATGCAGAATCTCTCATTTGCAATTGAAATACAAAAAGTATTTCCAAACATTAGAGGTAAATTTTGCTGGTGGAATTTTATATCGGCGCGACTCCTTTTCAGCTTTTGTTGCAGATAAGATGTGTGACGTCACACTGACGTAATTATTAACTTGAGTTTAACAAAGTGTGGATTATTAAAAATAAAACGGTCTTCCATTGCGTTTTCTTCCGCCTTTCTTTGTTGATTTTGTTTATCATATTAGATACATGTCGCGTTATCATTTTAAAACATATGGTGCTCAATCAAGATGAAGTGATTCCTTTTTCGAAACTAATGACTTCCTAGCTCATCATCATGGTATTTGTTTACTTCCTGTCTTCAGTGGGCAAATTGTATTTAGGTAAATGTCACATAATTCATACACTAATTGTTGTTTTGTTTTTTTTTACTTTTAGAGTGTGAGAGACAGTGAATGTATATAAACAAATAAAATCGTGATCCGAGATCTCTTGACTGACGAATATTCATACTCGATTTTTCATTTTGATTGTGATTATCAGAGTACTCAGTAATCGAGTATGAATATTCGTCAGTCAAGAGATCTTGGATCACGATTTTATTTGTTTATATACATTCACTGTCTCTCACCTCAGCCCTATTTTATACACTGCTTCCATTTATTCTGGTTCTCTGTCCTATTATGGTTCCCATTTAAATCGGTAGGAGACCAGTCTACGCATCCGTTTTCAATCAGAATTCCTTGGCTTTTATCGTTATCTTGTAATTTCAAAAGTTGCCATGTGTCAATTCAGTACTTCTGTCGAAAGTTTTTAAAACCATCACTATCTATCAGGTACTCGCGTTACCATAAAGCTTGATTTGAAAGCAGGCCCTTAGGGTCATCTCTTCGCACTCGCTTTTTAGGAAATAGATATCAATTCTGATAGCATTGTTGTAGAATAATACAATTATGCACAAAGAATTAATATCTATTTCCATTCTAACACGTCAAGAAAAAATATAATTATCATTATAAAGTTGGACTTTATGGTGGTTAAATTTGTTAAGGCCTCAGAGTTTCCAAAAGAAACGTTCTTTAAGGCTGTTCCAGTGGGTTGAAAAAAAACTGTCGTTTTTTATGCCCCCGCCATGTAATGGCTGGGGCATATAGTGTTACCCTGTTCCGTCCTTCCGTCATTCCGTCCTTCCGTCCTTCCGTCATTCTGTCATTCCGTCATCATCAGTTTCCGTTCATTATCTTAGTAACCGTTGCACATATTCAACTCAAATTTGACATATGGATATGTCATGAGAAAATACAGGTCAAGTTCGAATTTGGTCATGGTTCGATGATTTTTGGCAGAGTTATGCCCCTTTTACTTTGAAAATAATATGAAATTTTCAGTTTCCGTTCATTATCTCCCCAACGGTACAACACATTCAACTCAAATTTGACATATGGATATGTGATGAGAAAATACAGGTCAAGTTCGAATTTGGTCATGGTTCGATGATTTTTGGCAGAGTTATGCCCCTTTTACTTTGAAAGTAATATGAAATTTTCAGTTTCCGTTCATGATCTCCCCAACGGTACAACACATTCAACTCAAATTTGACATATGGATATGTCATGAGAAAATACAGGTCAAGTTCGAATTTGGTCATGGTTCGATGATTTTTGGCAGAGTTATGCCCCTTTTACTTTGAAAATAATATGAAATTTTCAGTTTCCGTTCATTATCTCCCCAACGGTACAACACATTCAACTCAAATTTGACATATGGATATGTCATGAGAAAATACAGGTCAAGTTCGAATTTGGTCATGGTTCGATGATTTTTGGCAGAGTTATGCCCCTTTTACTTTGAAAATAATATGAAATTTTCAGTTTCCGTTCATTATCTCCCCAACCGTACAACACATTCAACTCAAATTTGACATATGGATATGTCATGAGAAAATACAGGTCAAGTTCGAATTTGGTCATGGTTCAACGATTTTTGGCAGAGTTATGCCCCTTTTACTTTGAAAATAATATGAAATTTTCAGTTTCCGTTCATTATCTCCCCAACCGTACAACACATTCAACTCAAATTTGACATATGGATATGTCATGAGAAAATACAGGTCAAGTTCGAATTTGGTCATGATTCGATGATTTTTGGCAGAGTTATGCCCCTTTTACTTTGAAAATAATATGAAATTTTCAGTTTCCGTTCATTATCTCCCCAACGGTACAACACATTCAACTCAAATTTGACATATGGATATGTCATGAGAAAATACAGGTCAAGTTCGAATTTGGTCATGGTTCGATGATTTTTGGCAGAGTTATGCCCCTTTTACTTTGAAAGTAATATGAAATTTTCAGTTTCCGTTCATTATCTCCCCAACGGTACAACACATTCAACTCAAATTTGACATATGGATATGTCATGAGAAAATACAGGTCAAGTTCGAATTTGGTCATGGTTCGATGATTTTTGGCAGAGTTATGCCCCTTTTACTTTGAAAGTAATATGAAATTTTCAGTTTCCGTTCATTATCTCCCCAACGGTACAACACATTCAACTCAAATTTGACATATGGATATGTCATGAGAAAATACAGGTCAAGTTCGAATTTGGTCATGGTTCAACGATTTTTGGCAGAGTTATGCCCCTTTTACTTTGAAAATAATATGAAATTTTCAGTTTCTGTTCATTATCTCCCCAACGGTACAACACATTCAACTCAAATTTGACATATGGATATGTCATGAGAAAATACAGGTCAAGTTCGAATTTGGTCATGGTTCAATGATTTTTGGCAGAGTTATGCCCCTTTTACTTTGAAAATAATATGAAATTTTCAGTTTCCGTTCATTATCTCCCCAACGGTACAACACATTCAACTCAAATTTGACATATGGATATGTCATGAGAAAATACAGGTCAAGTTCGAATTTGGTCATGGTTCGATGATTTTTGGCAGAGTTATGCCCCTTTTACTTTGAAAGTAATATGAAATTTTCAGTTTCCGTTCATTATCTCCCCAACGGTACAACACATTCAACTCAAATTTGACATATGGATATGTCATGAGAAAATACAGGTCAAGTTCGAATTTGGTCATGGTTCGATGATTTTTGGCAGAGTTATGCCCCTTTTACTTTGAAAATAATATGAAATTTTCAGTTTCTGTTTATTATCTCCCCAACAGTACAACACATTCAACTCAAATTTGACATATGGATATTTTTTTGGAATGCCAAGGTCAAGTTCGAATTTGGTGATGGTTCAATAATTTTTGGCAGGGTAATGCCCTTTTCACTTTGAAAAAAATATGAAATTTACAGTTTCCGTTCATTATCTACCCAACAGTGTTACATATTCAACTCAAATTTGAAATATGGATATGTCAAATGAATGGGCAGGTCAAGTTGGAATTTGGTCATGGTTCGATGATTTTTTGGCAGAGTTATGTCCCTTTCACTTTGAAAATAATATAGATACATCTTAGGAATAGGCAGTTTAAGTTTGAATTTGGTTGTGGTTCAATGATTTTGGACAAACTTATCTTTCTTGAATATTGGAAAAAATTTTGAACATTCAGATTCAGCACTCATACTTTTGTGGAAATGTATGTAGCCATTATTTTGGCTACAAATATGAAATATGCTATTTTCAAAAGGTTAAGACTGAATAATTTCAGTGCTTTGAACATTGTATGAAAATGGTTTGTGTTAACATTGAAAAGTTTTAGGGGCTTTGAACTTAAAATGAGAACAATAATTTGTGCAAACAAATTTGGAACTAAATATAATAACATCTGAAATTTTGGCTGCATGCGGGGGCATCCGTGGCATGATGACACATTTCTAGTTTTTTTTTATACACAGGGAGATAATAAGAACGGCAAGTGCATTGTTGTAGAATAATGCATGCTTCGAGCCTTCTTTGTTTATATAGAAAAATTTCCGATAGTGTTAAAATATAGAAATCTTGCTTGTTCGTTTACCTACCAAAATTGATAAATTGTTATAGGGGCAATTATTCTGGGGGATTGACCAAATATGACAAAAAGATTAATACTTATAGAATCCAAGTCAACTCGGCCATAAAACGTACTCTACCCCCAAGTCATCTAGGCCTATGCCAACTTGGGACTGGTCAACCC